TCAATGATCGGCTCAAACATTGGTAGTTCGGCCAGTATACCGACAGCTTCAAGGTCTGATGAAGAACAGTGCTTACAAATGCGACTGAGCGGATTTTCACGGTTGATGGCGTATCTACCGGTCTCGATGTTGAACTTATGAGCACTCATTCTGAACTGCGCCAGCCGCTTCACCTCTTCTCCACTGAGCTGCAGGTTCAGGTACGCTTCAGCTGTAAATTCACTTTTGATAGTGTTGTAGAAACTGAGCTTCCGGTTGTTTTGCCGCTCATCGTTCCAACAGTTAATAAAAGTACTACGTAGTGCTGTTTTGAATTGGTTGGGGTAGGTCAACCTGCGAGATGATACTGACTGAAGGCTTTGTCGGAGATCTTCTATACCTTTGTACCATGGCAGATTGAGTGTGCGTTGTTCTATGAACGCCTGTCTGGCTAAACTTGTGCAACCAGCTCTGTCCATTTGCTCAAGTCGGTTGAAATACCCAAATACTTGCTTTGATGCCTTTATCACTAGGGGGCAGCGGCCTGTATCACCCCATACACTCGCATTTGAGGTTTTTCTGCCCACTCCTAAGGTCCACTTGAGGAATGAGAGATGAAGCTTTTCGAGAGGATCTCTTGCAGTCTCCTTCAGGAGAGATTTGGTGTTGATATTATCTTGATAGTTTCTGACAAAGAGAGTCTCTGGGAGCCACACCTGACATCCGTATGTCACAATCGGTACCACAAGCGCGTCGAATAGCTTGAATACGATTGTTCGCCTGAAGTGTCTTAAGTCAATACTGCTTTTTAGCGCGAAGTAGCTTCTGAGACCTTTTTGCTTCAGTTTGTTCTGTGCTACTGCTGAAGAACCGTTGAGGGTAAAGGTTATCCCGAGGTAGCAATATTCTCGAACTGATGTGATGTTGGTTTCGCCGAGTTGGAATGTCAGACTCTCTTTAAGGAGCCTCCCGGAACGGTTGAACACCATCACTGCCGTTTTTCCGATGTTAACGGTTAGTCCCCATTCGATACAGTAACTGTGTAAAACGTTTAGAAGTTTCTGTAGTCCAGTATGGTCAAGGGCAAGAAGTATAAGATCATCAGCCCAGAGGAGATGAGTGATATTAACATTATTCAGTTCAGGGACGTTTCAATGATTGACAATAAGGAGTCATGTTTCATAATTGTTTATTTAATGAAAAATACAAGAATACTGAATATACTGAATCAATTTAAAGTAGCAGTTTGTCCTTCCTCATCTGGATTGTCGTCTCCCTCTTCTCTGACAAGGCTTCCTTGCAGACTTGAGCAAAGGAAGACTTCGTCATCTCTGGTCTGCTCGCCAAAAGGTTTGAAAAGTAGTCTCGGTCAACTATCTGGAGCTCTGCAATGTACTTGTAGCGATAGAATGCAGTCTTCGACAATCCAGTCTTCTTAATAGCGTCTGCCAAATGATGATCGTTGTTGACCAGGTGGAGGGCTTTCACGTAGGAGTCCTTCACAGAATCGCAGTCAGACGATAGTGTTGTTTTTCTCCTTCTCCTTGCATTCCGCAGCGGCGAGCCAGGGTCTTGAGCAGAGGGAGCAGCTCTATCAGCGAGTTTTTGAGTGGAAGGAAGAGGTGCGGTAGTTATAGAGGGAGGGTTAGGAGTTCTGCTATCTTCAGAGGGCTGGGTAGTAGAGGGTCCGGCATCTTCAGAGGGCTGGGTAGTAGAGGGTCCGGCATCTTCAGAGGGCTGGGCAGTAGAGGGTCCGGCATCTTCAGAGGGCTGGATAGCAGAGGGTCCGGCATCTTCAGAGGGATGGGTAGAAGGGAGTCCGGCCGGCTGAGGAGGAAGAGGTCGAATGGCAGGAGTAGAAGGGTTTTCCAGCTGCAGTGTAGGCATTATGTCCGTCCAGTCGGTAACTACTTCATCAGGATCCGCAGGGATTATGGCATCAAATGATATTTCACTGTCCGTGTCCATGTCTTCTGAATCAGTGGTAGGGGCAGGAGAGTTTGTTCCAGGGTTGTGGTCGCTGCAAAGCTTGGTTCTCTCCACGAGCATACCCTCTACAATGAATACCGGCTGTCTGGAACAACGTCTGCATCTCTTTGTCTTCTTTCGGAGGGTCCGGGGATCAGTAGGCAGGGGTCTGGTATCCTGAACTGATGGAGGAAGGGCTGCAGGTAGGGAAGTAGTGTTGACATGATTGATGACAGGACAAGCAAGGGAGGAGTGTCGTATCTTGCAGAACTGGCAGAAGTCGGGTCTTCCTCGTGATACTGTCAAGGATTTGCCGGCTTGCACAGCTTTCTCTCTGTCACTACCAGGTCTTGATATAGGATTGTCGACGTACCTCACAGAGTTCGTGCGTTTCCTTTTCTCAGCAGTCATGGTGATTACTACCTATACTGATAAACGGGTGGGATATTCTTTACCAGTAAAACCCCGCTTTAAGTATGCTTTCCCGTATGATGCCAGCGGCTAAACTAGTGCTACCACCATTTCCCACCTAAGCTTCCCACCTAAACTTCTAAGTTAAGAGTGATGTGATCCAAAGTACCACCTAAGCTTCCCACCTAAACTTCCCACCTAAACTTCCCACCTAAACTTCCCACCTAAACTTCCCACCTAAACTTCCCACCTAAAGTTCCCACCTAAACTTCCCACCTAAAGTTCCCACCTAAACTTCCCACCTAAACTTCCCACCTAAGCTTCCCACCTAAACTTCCCACCTAAACTTCCCACCTAAACTTCCCACCTAAACTTCCCACCTAAACTTCCCACTTAAGGTGGGTCGGAATTGTTCCATTCTGCCAAATATTGTTCCTAGACGAAATTATTGCCGGTCAAAGGTCAGCGCTCATGTGTAATTGTATTGCGCGAGCGATTTTCAATCGCGCCCTGAAAATCGAGTCTAAAAATCTATCTCCTCCTACAGTTTTTGAGCAATCACCTTGAAACTTTCAGGATATGTTCTAAGGACCATTTAGAAACTTTTGCTCGTTTTAAAATTTAAACATTTTTTATTCCATTTTGAAAATCTTGGACCTGGAAAAATCGTCAAAAAAAAAGAGGTCCAAGATTTTCAAAATCTAATTTAAATTTTTTAAAGGCCTATCTCGAAATTCTAAAACGAGCAAAAGTTTCTAAATGGTCCTTAGAACATATCCTGAAAGTTTCAAGGTGATTGCTCAAAAAAATGTAGGAGGAGATAGATCCAAAGTCCCACCTAAGCTTCCCACCTAAGCTTCCCACCTAAACTTCCCACCTAAACTTCCCACCTAAACTTCCCACCTAAACTTCCCACAAGGTGGGTCGGGATTGTTCCATTCTGCCTAAAAATCTATCTCCTCCTACATTTTTTTGAGCAATCACCTTGAAACTTTCAGGATATGTTCTAAGGACCATTTAGAAACTTTTGCTCGTTTTAGAATTTCGAGATAGGCCTTTAAAAAATTTTAATTAGATTTTGAAAATCTTGGACCTCTTTTTTTTTTACGGTTTTTCCAGGTCCAAGATTTTCAAAATGGAATAAAAAATGTTTAAATTCTAAAAGGAGAAAAAGTTTCTAAATGGTCCTTAGAACATATCCTGAAAGTTTCAAGGTGATTGCTCAAAAACTGTAGGAGGAGATAGATTTTTAGACTCGATTTTCAGGGCGCGATTGAAAATCGCTCGCGCAATACAATTACACATGAGCGCTGACCTTTGACCGGCAATAATTTCGTCTAGGAACAATATTTTTCCATGGGACCAAAAGTAGCAGATAGATATCACTCCCCTCTATTAGAAACAACTATAAAATCAATTTCGAGAGAAATTTCATAAATATGCCCCCTTAATTATATCCTGAGTGCATGTGTAAGATATCCAAATAAAAGCAGATTTTGAAATTGGACAAGTGCATAATATTATGGAATATGTAATTTGTATTTTATAATGCATTATAGTGTTTAGTAGGGAGCATAATGGCTCTCGACAGACAAAGTGAAATAAGGCAAATAATAACTGGTGCGGTGATTTAAACAAAATAAAAATAATCGACGTTTCGACACTCATGACTCATTGGCCTCTTGCTAACTTCTAATCAATTATTATGAGAACTGTACAACGGGAAATGTAAACAGGAAAATTAAATATAAACGGGAAATGAAATGTGGGGACTACACTCAGTTTGTTTTTTAAAGACGCCCTTGATAAAGACGGAGCCTTCAAATGAATAAAAATTAAAAACGGCAAGACTTCAAGATTTAAAAATTAAAGACAGGTCTAAAAAAACAGGTCTAAAAATAGATCAGATCATGTAATAAAGCATATTTCACACACTGACCTTACTTCTACCAGCAAATTTAAAGGCGGGTTGCGATCAATTAAAGACGGTGAAGCCTTCGCCAAAATTAACCGTATTTATAAAACAAACTGAGTGTATATTAAAGAATAAATGCATTTGTCAATTGTTGAGATAACGAAAGCAAATTATTTAGAATTAGCAGCACAAGAGATTAGGGCAACAAACAAATTTGAAAGCCACTGTGATATTGATAGTGTGCTACCTACACTCCAATAACAGAACAGAGCTGTCACGTGGGGGTCTTTCCGGTAATTCTATTGGTCGACAAACGTATTCAAGCAGTGGCTTATCGCAACTACGGCGACAGATAAATATAAGATAATGCAAGATAGCGAGCTTATCGTACGGTAAACGGAACTGCTAATATCAGGTGTTTATTTACGGACACCCTGAGCTGAGGGGTCCGTTTTGTGTAATATATGGAGAACGGCCGCTATCAGGTATTATTGAATGTTATCCTTATCATGGATTTATCAGAGATTGTGGTACTACGATACTGCGATAGAATATAAAATGATAAATAGTCAACTAGGCCAATAACAAATAAGCAAATGCATTCGACTTCTGTATGTCGTAGAATATTCTAGATAATTCATTGTAGTATGATGGTATGGAACCACCATTTTATTTTTACAGCCAAATCAAATCAATTTACTCAGCCAAATCAAATCAATTTACTCACCAACAATGAGAATGAAAGAAGGTATGGCGTAATGTCGTTGAGAATCATTTCAATCAAGATTTCTCCACTGAAATGATTACCATGTGGAATGTGATTTCCAGTTGAAATCTAATTCTATAAAAAAAAATAGGCTGGACTCGAGTATTTTGCATCCTAAATAAGGTTATAATTAGTATAATGGTAAATGTTGAGGAATATCTCAACAGAGTAAAATAACTCACCACGATAGGTTGCGAGGAATGTTTTCTGTCAAACGAGAAGAGGAGCTGAGTTGAGGTTATCCATCACTAATTCAAGGTGACTTTAACCTTTTGTGTTGCCATGTCAAGTGAAATGTTGATATTAGATATGACATGGCCTGGTTAAAGATATTTTCATAATGAATTATTTTCATGAGAAATTTATAAGTCAATGTCGGTTATAAATGCTCCATATTGAGAAATTTTAATATCAGATGCAAATTTTTTGTAATAGCAAGGGTAAGATCGCTGTATCATTACCCCCTTCCTCCCCCGGCTCAATCAGGATTATTTGTAGATAACAGTAACTGAGCACAGTGAGATTTACAATAAAACACTTTTGTTGTTGTTGTAATGAAGTGTAATTTGGAATTTTTAAAAGGTAAGATCTTGTCGTTACACATTATAAAGTTCTAAGTCCCACACCATTTATAATTTAAATAAAAAGGTAAAATCGAATTTTACAAATAATTGATTTAAAATTAAAAATAGAGAAATTGGTAAAAATGTGTAAAATGATCTGAAATTGGTAAAAACACAGAATTCAATCATCTGATGGAATTAGGGCTCGAATATTTGGACAATAATCAATTAGAATTAATTAAACTGCAAATTCCTTCTCAAACACACAATATATTAAGGCTATCATAATTTAAACTTGGTTTACAGTAATTAGTATGAATGTTCGACCAGGATCACAATTTTGACCGAGATCTGAATTGGATGGGTTTTATAACAACGAATCATCCAGCCTGAGTTTCTCATCGAACCATTTTTGTTCCAATTCTTTTAAAAATATTTGGTTATAGCAAATTGGAAATTATCTGAATATCTCACAAGCTAGACGTGATAAAATGATCACCAATTGATTATGTAATAAATATAGCAACAATTATTATGGAGCTTCAATAAATAAGATAAATATGTTTCATGAACAATTTATTTAAACAATATTAATTTAAATTAGCAAAACCCGCACAATTTTTACAAATATACCGAGCATAAAAATATAAAAATGGTAAACCAAGAACGTTTCGCGTTCATGATTTTGATTCGCTCCAAATTGGAAGATTAAATACAAATTTAAAAAGATTTATTGTTTCAAGGTTATGATTTGAAACGGGTTATGATTAAAAACGATAACGATCGTATGAATACAAATATATAAGAACAATTCCTTCCTTGATAGTGTTGTCTCGATTATTTAACGTTATTTTCAGTTGTGTTGATTCGTTTCCGGCTCGTCGACTCCTTAGTTCTCTTTTTAACACGCTTGACAGCCAAGGAGGTCGGAGTGCTTCCAAATATCATATCAAATATGTCATCCGATGATTGAGAAGTTATCAAACTCGGCGTTTTTATTCGCTTCTTTGCTTTGTCTTTTGAAAGAGTCGCTGCAGTATTTTTGGTGCCTCTAGATGACTTTGGTGTCGACGAACGGGAGATACAAACAGTTTCCACACATTCTATATTCGGAGACCGGCGAGTTTTCTTAGACTCTACAATAGGAGACTGACGAGTCTCCTTAGACTCAACAATAGGATACTGGCGAGTCTTCTTAGACTCTATCGTCAGAGACTGAAGAGTCTCCTCAGGTATGCTGGTATGGTGATGCGTATCGGATTCAGTTAAAATCTGTGCGTCTGATGAAAATAATTGCTCCTTAGAGACAATCACTTCTTTCTTAGTTTCTGGGGATAATGGTCGTTTCTTAATTTCTAGAACCGGCATGGTTTTGGGTGAAATCTTATCAACAGTCAGTTTCCAAGCGAGATCTCGAAGATGGCCTTCAGTAACTTCGGTGTAATCATTTAAAAGGTTGATACTGTCACTGTACAGTGCCCTCGACACAGGCAAAGATTTGCCAATTTTCTTTGGTTTTTTGTTGTACGTTATAGCATGGCATTTCTTGGTAATTTCAGATAGTTGTCGAAAATATTCATTTTTGCTCTCCTGAAAGTAACGAGTTTGTCGGACAGCCTCGGATTCGACAATATGGTCATTCTTGACTGTGATATCTGAACTACAGACCACTTTAGGAAGCAGTAATTCAATCCGGCTTTCAGCAAGGTCGTCCTCTGTTACTTTCTTCCTCTGTTTGAAAGTAGAAGAGTAGTAGTTAGTGCTCAGAGTGGAGCTGGAGGTGTTGAACGTTTCCCTGATATTTATAACCGTCGAGTTGAACATTTGGTTCAGAGCGTACTGCCCCCGGAGGTAGTCCCCTATTGGGCCAGCTTTCTCAGCCCCATCCTCCGACTCACTTTCAGTATCACTTACATAGAGGGTTTCAACTGAGTCAGGAGTTTCATTCAGCACTTCAACACAATCAGTAAAATCATCGATCTTGACTACTTCCCCAGGAAGTTGCGTTTCTCGAAACATTTCCTCATAAAGCGTGCTGACATTAGATTTGTGGTTATCCAACTCGACACCTCCTCCGTTCAAGATCACCTGTTCTTTTTCTGTTGTTGGACTTCCAATTCTAGAGGGGTAAGAAACCTTACCGTTAATGTAGACTGGGCTATTAGCGATTATTTCAATATCACAGCGGGGAAAAACAAACATAGGTGAGACTGTTGGGACAATAACTTGGTGGCTTACTTTTACAGAGGATTCGTCATCAATATCAGGGGACATTTCATCGCCCAAAGAAGACAGACCAACACAATCACTGAGCTTCACATACGACTGAACAGTGCCGTTGTGTTGACACTTAATGGGCGACGGTAACCAATCCAACTCTAAAGGTATGGGCGGTTCAATGTAGGGTGTCATATCTGAGGACCTATTCCCGATGTAAGGCGTTACAAATAAATCCGGGGACCCGCTCCCATTAAAATAACAGTACGGTAACTCAGAAGATGGGTGGCTTTCCCTCGAGCTGTGATCATGATATATAGCATGTTCCTGTAGATCCTCGCAGTTGACGTTGTGGATGGGTGTTGAACAAGATCTGCCTGGATACTGGCAGGGAGAGAAGATACTAGTTTCTGGACTGTTGCCAGCTTCTTCGTCTGTACTTTGTCCTGTTACCACTCGGTACGATACAGCTTCTGTGTTTTCAAACTCTGACGTAATGGAAAACTCGGTCTGCTCTTCTTTGTTTTTCCTAAGCTTTACTTTAATCTTATCAGTATCTAGTTTTGAGGTGCTGGTGTTTTCAGTTTGCTCTGGGTTGGGCGGAGAGTTTACACTAGGCTTCTCTACTTTGGTCATTATAGGACATGCACTCTTGTAACACAGCGAAGCAAAAAATATCTCAATTTCCTTCATACAAGAATGGTCAGAGAATTTGATGTATTCGTAAGATAAACAGTTCTGTCCTCGCCTCATGCCTGATATCTTAACAAAAACCACCTCTGAATGACAATGTTCCGCAGTGATACCAGCTATTGCCTTTTTGTAGTTAAACTTTGACTTGCAAACACAAAAGACCCTCCCGCCCTGCCGGTTAGTAGTGAAATGTTTTGAGAGTCCCATACACTTCACTAGCTGGTACTTATCTTCTGTAACCACCACTTCAACTCCCAGAGCTTCCGCCACATGGTTCAGAATGTCTTCTTTACCAATGTTGTCAAGAACGAAATACAGGACCTTGCTCTGACTCAACTGCGATCTACAAAAGTTGGTGGCGTTTTCTTTACATTCTGAGCGTGTCATGAACTTGGCTGCTTTCCTCGAGTACGTATTGTCGAAGTACACTGTGTCAATAACGAGATCCGACAGCGAGGAAGTCAGGCCGGGGTACCACCTGAAAGTTCAGTAATTAAATAATAAATATTTGAGAAAATAACGTTAAAAAACACTAGTTAGTTACTACTTAATTCTTTTTAATTCCAGGGACGACTACATAGGAACGTAGGGAATGGTAGGGGAAAATCTGTTAAGTATAATAGTCGAAGTTCAAGAAAATACAAACCTGAAGTTGCCGGTGTAAAGAATTCTCCCAAAGGTCCCCTCGAATAGAAACATGGCGGAGCCCATGCAGTGGTTGGAATCTAGCATGGTGACTGTGAAGGAGTCCTCTATTCGGGTTGGTATGTTATACTTCAGAACTATCGTCATGTTGTCTGGGATCTGACACGTGTGACTGAGTAGTTTCCCGGAAATGTCGGAGCAGTAGATTGGACGAGACCAGCCTTCTGACAGTCCAGGTGTTTGCTCACTGAAATTTTTACATGTTAATAAGCTATCCACCTAGCAGCTCGACGCAAAAATAGCAAATGGTTGCAAAAACTTTTTTTCGGCGAAAATAATCACAAAAAAATAAGTTCATTGTTAATGTTGAAGAAGGTGAGCGGCTAAGGGCGTTACTAAGGGCGTTACTAAGGGCGTTACTAAGAACGCAACGATCGTCTGTGCTCACGTTTATCCGGTCACTTTTCAGTGTATAAGGTACCTGGTCACATGTGAACAGAAGTAGAAGTCCACGAGTTCAGTAGAGTCAGTTTCCCACCAATCCACAGCTATCTTTGTCTTCTCCAGCACATGACCCAAATTGGTAATAACCATCCTCCCACCACTATTGTAATAATATCTTGTAAAAACAAAACCATTATTTCAAATTTAAGTCAGTAATAAGTTCACAGGTTGTGCTGGTTATAATTAAGGACAGTAAGCATATGTTATTATATTGTTAAAGTATAGTCTAATTTTGGAGTTTAAGAGCATTTTCACTTTTTAGCAAAGAAACGAACTTCGTTGTAATGAAACCATTCAATTAATCAACAGTATTTTATTGAATGCAAACAAAATTTATATCAATGTTAAAAGGAATTTACAAAATTAATAAGTTACTGGTCCAATTAAATTATTTCAATAAAAGGGCAAAAAACACGGAATAACACCAGAAACATTGGATACTTGAATACAGTCAGATGTCAATGCATTGTAAACAGCAGTTTATCTAGCGATTAAAATATTGTATCTTAAGTAAAAAACAATAAATTAACATCACTGTTATCTCTCCTCTTCCACAAACGAGAGCAATCATTTCACATACAATTATAAAACTTGCTAATTAAGTGATATTAAGAGGACTGAAAAGACATTTAACAGGTAAGGGACCACTATGAGTGAAGTTTAATTCTATGCGACCCTCCATTATCCTCAAATATTTCAAATTCAAGTCCTTGAACAGAGAAACAAGTTGTCCCAGATTTAACTGTTGGGGAGATAAGAACTCGACCGGGTATCAGATCGCTCACACAGTTCTGATTTAACCCAGCGAGAGAAGCATTTGATGTTGCAAACACTACCCTACACTCCACACCGTATCTCTGATGTAAATAGTTGAGAGAGTTCTTCAGTATCATTATCGTCTGATAAATGTCCGGCAGATCACTGAAGTAGTGCTGAAGACTGTCTATTAGAACGAGGTCGGGACGTTGTGTCGGTAACTGTTCCACGATGAATTCTCTAAGTTCTTTCCTGGTGTGGAAATAATAGGTTTTGTAAATATGAGTTTTAAAGAAATTTTAACTATTCACGTATTCAATCCATCCGAATTTAAATCCCTAAACAGCCAAAGGCGTCCAATAAATTTACTTGATATTAATGAGAAAACATGAGATTAACCATAACAATTAAAAGTAAATTAAAATCGTTCGCACTTTGATACAACTTCCATTATTCCAAAAATTCAACATAAAAATTAATCTTTTAGTGGTCATATTGCGGCAATATAGTGGCCGTGAATGGATTAACCTCTACTTAGAAACAGACATACTACCTGCTGGCGATGTAGTGAAAAGAAAGGTTTTTCAGCAGGACCGGATCCTCTGGGAGATCGAGGTGAGTTGCTGGCATCCGTTCCAACTTTTTCGGGCAAACAAAACAAACTTTCTTACTTCTCTTCGAGACTAATTCCTGAAAATATCTTATTTTCTATTCGGTATTCCCGACAGCCACGTGGCTTTCAAGTAACCTGTCCCCAACAGGTGAACTTATCCCATATTTAATGTAAACCAGTGTTTTCTTAAATGGAGGTTTGACTTTAACGGATATAATTACTACTCACTTGCACAGCATGGTTGAAGAGAAGAGAAGTTTTCCCACAAGAAGAAGGGCCTTGTAGCAGAGTCAATGTGTCCTCTAACTGTATGTTCATCTCTCCATCCTATAAAATAGACGGCCTTAAAAAGTTCTCAGAATATTCGACCTCAGTAAATCAAACTGAACGTTTTGAGTAATCGAGATTTGCTGCACCAGAACTAAAGGGTCGTAGAGACACGAAACTTCAACTAAAATTAACCTTTTCCTACCATTTATTTTAGATTAACACATCAACAAAGTCCTAAACACTAAAAAGTTTCATGGATTTGACCTGTTAAAGTTTATAGTGCACCAGAATTGATTTATTTTAAGGGTTTTTTAACTACTTGGTTTGATAATAAATTAAATTCGATTTTTTAAACATTAAAATTATTATCAATATCACACAACAAACTGATTTTTCTTCTCAGCCAGTTCACAATGTCTTTTTGTTCTTCTTTATTTCTTATAGTCAAGGATCTGAAGATATTCGTCTATATAACTTCCGCCCCGGGGTTTGAGACTTGGAATAGCTCAAGGGACTCATCACAAACAAATTTGGCTTGGGTAGAAACTTTGGCTATGGTGCAGTTTTACGCAATTGACCACGCCCTTTTTTAGCGCTTTCGCGACTTTAAAATCAAAATAACTCCGCTTCTAATTGGAATTAGAAGCTCAACTTGGCTTCGAAGTTGTTCAGAATCATCACATTTAGGGGGGTAGAGCACAATTTTAAAGTCACCAGACATCAGGTTGTTGAGTTATGTTACCACACCCTTTTTTGATCTCGTGAGTCGTTATTTTCACACTAAATACGAGATATCTCGGCTTCTGATTAAGCTAGGTGCTCATCCTGGTCACTAAAATGTTCGGAATCATCATATTAACTAGGGTAGAGCACAATTTCAAAGTCCTCAGACGTCATGTTGTCGAGTTATAAGGCAAAAACATTTTTTACGCAGTGGCGAGTAGCAATTGCAGCGCTTAAAATCAAAATTACTCAGCTTCTAATTAAACTTAGGAGCAAAATTCGGGCAGCAAAATGTTCACAATTATCTTATTGAGTGGGGTAGAGCATGGTTTCAAAGTCCTCAGACATCAGGTTGTTGAGGTATTAGGCCACACCCTATTCTTACGTTGTCGCGAGTAGTGATCGACAGACTTAATACAAGATATCTGGGCTTCTGATTGGAGTAAGGAGCTAAACTTGGGCATTAAAGTGTTCAGAATTATCACATTAAGTGGGGTAGAGCATAATTTCAAAGTCCTCAAACATCAGGTTGTTGAGTTTTTAGGCCAGACCCTATTTTTACGCTCTCGCAAGTAGCGATTACAGCGCTTTTAAAATGAAAATAACTCTGATTCTGATTAGAGTTAGGAGCTAAACTCGGGCAGCAAAATGTTCAAAATCAATAGGGTAGACTAGTATTTTTCTATCATAATGTAACCCATCTGACTTCCTCTTGTATTTCTGTTTGCCACTGTTTTTAGGACAATCATTTTTATGTTGTTCTTCATTCTGCACAATGTGATTTTCAGATTTAACCTCAAGAACACTTGAAAACTGCTGTTTGAGTTCGCTAGTCAATTCGGAGTCTTTTAGGACTTTAACATTCTGTGATATGATGGCTTCCACTGATTTTAAGTAATCTTCGAGAGGCGTGTTTAAGAAATGTTTTTCGGTGACAAAACCGTGCCTTTCTATTATAGATTTATCAACTAAATTACCTACACTGTTTTAATGCCTAGATTTAAGATACGGTAAAAACCAAATGAGCCATGGTTCTTTGGGTGAATCAGGGTTTTCGAATTGGAAAAAGAGACGTAGAGCAGTGACAAAGCACCCTGCTATGATAAGTTCAACATTTACCATGGTTTGGTTTTCAGCCCTATAAAACATTTTGAAAAGTCCGACGCACAATAAATGGACATCATTAGCTGAGATTTCAAATTTAGTTCGAAGTCTATTGAACAGGGCTGCTAGAACACTAAAATAAAGCTTGGGTTTGGGTACATCACCCGTACATCATCTAAAATATCTGAAACAACCAGGACCCTTTCTTTCAAACTTTTTAACGTAGGTAGACTGCGAACTCGAAGTGAACTCCCCAGAAGCTTTTTTGGTTTGAAATACTCAGGCAACAATCGAGTTGTGTTGAAATAGCACAAAGTCCCATCACCTATCCAACTCAGGATATCACAACACAGCACCGGATAGTGTATAGAAAGTAGGGATAAATACAGGATAGCCAAGTTATCAAAAATACTGATCTTATAGATATCAGTCAAAACAACTCACAACTGGCTCCACTTTCGGCCCGTTTATAGTTCCGATCTTAGCAAGGAACCGGAACCAGAGGTTTCCTACAACGTTTGTTAGCTGCTCCGGGACTCCTTGACTGATGAGACCGTTGGTTTGGATCATGAGGATTGCTTGTACGGCTTCTGTTACCGTCCATATTCTGTCCGGGATCCCAGTGGTTTTGGTGCTGTTCAAACCTTTGGCTACTCGCCTGTAACCATTTTGTATTCATTTATGACAAAAGTTTTTGATATGTGTGTGATGTTATTTAACTAGACATTTGATGAGCGGGACTGATAACGGGATAAACAATTCTTCTCTCATGTTCACTTCATTTGCTCATTTGATAGAAAATCATCAAAAAGCAAATCACAAATTACACGATTAACACTAACAGCTGTATCCATCATGATCCCTAGTAACTCCTCTATCCCAACTCACCTGACACTAGCGTTATGGTGGGTGAATATTGTATCGTCCAGTCCCACCACCTCCTCTCTGATGTCCTGAGACTGGGTACCAGTCTCTGAACATTTTGCTGCCCAAATTTTGCTCCTAATCTTAATCAGAAGCCGAGTTATATTGATTTTAAGTGCTGTAATCGCTACTCGCGAGAGCGTAAAAATAGGGTTTGGCTTAATAAATCAATAACCTGATGTCTGAGGACTTTGAAATTATGCTCTACCCCACTTGATATGATAATTGTGAACATCTTAATGCCCAAGTTTAGCTTCGAACTCCAATCAGAAGCAGAGTTATACTAATTTTAAGTGTAAAGTCGTTACTCGCGAGAGCTTAAAAATAGGGTTTGGCCTAATAAATAAACAACCCGATTGTCTGTAGACTTTGAAATTATGCTCTACCCCACTTAATGAGATAATTTTGAACATTTTGCTGCCCGAGTTTAGCTCCTAACTCTAATCAGAATCAGAGTTATTTTCATTTTAAGCGCTGTAATCGCTACTCGCAAGAGTGTAAAAATAGGGTTTGGCCTAAAAACTCAACAACCTGATGTTTGAGGTCTTTGAAATTATGCTCTACCCCACTTAATGTGATAATTCTGAACACTTTAATGCCCAAGTTTAGCTCCTTACTCCAATCAGAAGCCCAGATATCTTGTATTAAGTGCGTCGATCACTACTCGCGACAACGTAAGAATAGGGTGTGGCCTAATACCTCAACAACCTGATGTCTGAGGACTTTGAAACCATGCTCTACCCTACTCAATATGATAATTGTGAACATTTTGCTGCCCGAATTTTGCTCCTAATTTTAATTAGAAGCTGAGTAATTTTGATTTTAAGCGCTGCAATCGCTACTCGCGACTGCGTAAAAATAGGTTTTTGCCTAATAACTCGACAACATGACGTCTGAGGACTTTGAAATTGTGCTCTACCCTAGTTAATATGATGATTCCGAACATTTTAGTGACCAGGATGAGCACCTAGCTTAATCAGAAGCCGAGATATCTCGTATTTAGTGTGAAAATAACGACTCACGAGATCAAAAAAGGGTGTGGTAACATAACTCAACAACCTGATGTCTGGTGACTTTAAAATTGTACTCTACCCCCCTAAATGTGATGATTCTGAACAGCTTCCAATTTTGATTTTAAAGTCGCGAAAGCGCCAAAAAAGGGCGTGGTCAATTGCGTAAAACTGCACCATAGCCAAAATTTCTACCCAAGCCAAATTTGTTTGTAATGGTTCCCTTGAGCTATTCCAAGTCTCAAACCCCGGGTCGGAAGTTATATAGACGGGAATGTCTCCAGATCCATGACTATTACTGCGATGTTCTGACATGGAAAACACTACAGGGGCGAATATCTCTTGTTCGATTGACGTAACACGATGATTGTACTGCCTTTCTCTTTTTCTCGTGATTGTTGAATACTTTAGCCAGCGGGATTCGCTTAAAACCAAAACAGATCATTTTTGTGGCTACAGCCATTCCTAGTAACCACATTATAAAAACATTCGATAATACCTCGAACCCCCTCAGCCTTTCGTTTTGCCACTCTTCTGTGCAGTTAGAATATTCGTCCAAAAAGAAACTCGAAGCCTTCTCACAATGCAAGATCAAGGCAAATCTGAAAATATGGCGGGGAAATTAGAAAATGAAGTTAGAAAAAGATATAAGTATTTTAGTTGATGTCTGATCTTCACGACTTACATTTCCGGAGTGCCCTTGCGTAGCCCAAGAAAGACAGTAATGTTCCAATAACTGGGTAAGAATCTCGTGTTCATCAAAGAACTCAAGTCGGGCTATTCTCTGAAAATCTCCAGCCGGCAACTGTCTTAGAGCTTGGTTCATGTCAATTGCCTGAGGTAGATCAACGATAATCTTGTGTTCTCAGGAGCAATTCCATTCAAGTCTCACTCTCAGTAGAATTTCTCAGCCGAATATTCATATTATTAGCGTCACATTATTAAGTTGAATAATTTACCTTCGCGTTAGAGTATCCCAGGTCGGTGAAGCGTTTCTCCTGATCAGTCAGAGTGGGACACGCCAGAATACCAGGTAATTCACAGTCACGTGACCTCATGTTCTCTATCATTATACTTCCGAACCTGCAGGAGGTATGTGTAAAGGAGTGATCTCATATTCTCTATCAGAAATCGGGTGTGAGGGTTAAATGAGGAGCTGTGCTTGATCAACACAGCGAAGCCTCGGGCGAAGAAAGTGTGGCATAGTGCCTTAACCGTTGCTGGCCTTAGGAACGATCCTTCGGCTTCTTGTAAAGCTCTTCCTTGAAAGTGCTGGTTTACATTGTAATGCAGGTAATGCCGAAGTAAAATAACAAAGGTGGTCGACTCATTCGATGGCCTTGTTGCGTCGCAACGAATCCTCATAAGCTAAGCTAAGCTAAGCTATCATTATACTTCCGAACCTTCAGGACTCAGGAGGTATGTGTAAAGGCGTTTGAAGAAGACAGAAAAAAGAGATTATATAATAGAAGCTACTGTTCAAACTTTAAACTTTCGGTAATTCTAACTGTTTATAATATGATGACTAGAACCTGAGACGAGCCCTGGTTTACAATGATGGGGAGAGTTTAGCTTCCTGGATCCTGATTCATGTTCGCTACATGTACACTTATTTACCTCTTGCAAGCTTTGTAAGAATAAACAAAAGAAAATAAAACTTGCGATAAGTTCCAGAACAGTACCTGTCTTTCATGATGCAGGGCTCGTAGTTAAGGAACAGTACCTGTCTGTCATGTTGCAGGGCTCGTAGTTAAGGAACAGTACCTGTCTGTCATGTTGCAGGGCTCGTAGTTAAGGAACAGTACCTGTCTGTCATGTTGCAGGGCTCGTAGTTAAGGAACAGTACCTGTCTGTCATGTTGCAGGGCTCGTAGTTAAGGAACAGTACCTGTCTGTCGTGTTGCACGGCTCGTAGTTAAGGAACAGTACCTGTCTGTCATGTTGCAGGGCTCGTAGTTAAGGAACAGTACCTGTCTGTTATGTTGCAGGGCTCGTAGTTAAGGAACAGTACCTGTCTGTCATGTTGCACGGCTCGTAGTTAAGGAACAGTACCTGTCTGTCATGTTGCAGGGCTCGTAGTTAAGGAACAGTACCTGTTTGTCATGTTGCAGGGCTCGTAGTTAAGGAACAGTACCTGTCTGTCATGTTGCAGGGCTCGTAGTTAAGGAACAGTACCTGTCTGTCATGTTGCAGGGCTCGTAGTTAAGGAACAGTACCTGTCTGTCATGTTGCAGGGCTCGTAGTTAAGGAACAGTACCTGTCTGTCATGTTGCAGGGCTCGTAGTTAAGGAACAGTACCTGTCTGTCATGTTGCAGGGCTCGTAGTTAAGGAACAGTACCTGTCTGACATGTTGCAGGGCTCGTAGTTAAGGAACAGTACCTGTCTGACATGTTGCAGGGCTCGTAGTTAAGGAACAGAGAATTAGGGAAGGTGGTAGAAGCCCAGCTGATAAGATGAGCAGAGGATTGAGCAGGCATGTAGCACAGTACACATTCCGTCAGGACTAGAGTTGGGAGGGTTGGGTCCAGAGAACACGCCTCAACTACCTTACTCACTGCTGTCTTGTCTGGGGGAAGTGATTGCTAGATGAGTATTACTACTGGCAGGGAAACGGAGTACGATTAAGAGTAGTTGCTATATTTAATATTCTGATGAATGCCCGAATAGCAGATACAGTCAATACATTATGTATACATTATGTATACATTATGTATACATTATGTATACATTATGTATCATATATTAAACGTCATCAAAATAATATTCAGAACCTGAGAACCTAGTTTATTTGAGTACAAACTACAAACCAAAAGGATTTAAAATTATCACCCCTAAGGTCTATAGAGAGAAGATGGTAACATTGAGAGTGGACACTGCCCTTGGTAACCTTGGTGCCGTCACACCCGCCCTCGTCACGTGATATTACTGAGTTTAGCTCACTTTTACTCGAGATTACTCTTATCTTCTTCATCACTATCTGATCAAGATATTTTGAGGTCAGCTCAGTTTTAGCTAAGTTTTACTGGGTCACGTAGCACTATCAGTAGTGAGCAAATCTTGTCAAGTTCAAACATTATATTACAATCAGCATTCAACATGTCACTTTATGTAATACTAGCAAATTTTGTAATTAGGATATTTGCATTTCTGATATTAAATTGTGAACAGTATAAGGTAATCAGTGTACAATGTACATGGTTTCTGAAAAATTAAAGTTGGATTGGAAACTGACTTTGAGTAGTTCTTTGTGCTCATTTTGGACCCTAATGATTGGATCACGATTCAGGATATAATCACGTGATTACTTCCTCAGCTACTGAATACTGGTATTCATCTTCCCACGTTATAGGCCCAATTTCTTCGGAAACAATAAATCAAAAGTATAGCATTTTCTGAAACTATTTTGTCGTATCGTGACCGTATCGTGGCTGAATCGAGGTCGTATTGAGGTATAGAGGCCATATCTTGTCTAAATTTCCCTTTTTAATGTCCTATAACTACTCTAACTGCACCATCTTTGGGATACAAAACAAAGCAGAAAGATACGTCTACGGAGGATGGTTGGTCTTCGTCATCACTTGCTCCCTTCTCGGAGACACCACCATACTAGTGGCCTCCATCAGATACAAAGCCTTTAAACTCCAGAAGATAGTGGTGGCTTTCATCCAACATATCGCAGTGTGTGACTTGCTCATAACCATAAGCACCACCATCCCCAAGCTGGTCTCCGTGATTAAAGATAGAAACATCAACAATAGGCTCATACCTATTGTAAGCTTCTTCATCCTGTTTTATGAATACACTGTGAGTTTACATCTTGTCAGCGCGATGACCCTTGGGAAGCTTCTCTCCCTAAAGTACCCTTTTAAAGCAGGCACTTGGACCACTGCCAGATTCCACAAGTTCTGTGCTGGTATTTGGATGGCCGCCATTTCTGCTCCGGTTCTACAAATCCTCATAGACAAAGAAGACATAATGTTCGATTGCAGAGTGCATACGTACGCACACACTTACACCTCCAGCATTTGGAAGATATTGCTCCCCATTATTTCCCTGGTCGTACTGTTCACCCCAAATGTGATAATAGTCGTCTCAACAGTTCTGCTGCTGAAAGAGGCAAGAAGAGTGGTCACGGACACCAGAGAAAGTCTACGCTGGCAAGGCATCATGACGGTGGTTCTCACCGCAACCGTCAACACAATCGCCTTCTTGCCAATGACAGTCTACTTTGTAGCTGAGCCATTTATAGCTAAAGATCCTTTCGTTCCTGGACCATTCTACAAAGAGTTTTATCGGTTCTCCGGCGCAGTCGGCTACCTGAATGTTCTTGCTAACTTCTTCGTTTATAGCCTAACGGTGACCAGCTTCAGAAACTTCCTTGAGACAAAGTTTAGGCAGGCATCTTCTTTCCAATCCAACAAAGTCACCAAAGGTAATTCTTTCAAATAATCTAGTTCTTTTGTCTGACAGTCAGGTAATTATTTATTAAAATAAGACTTAGGGGTAAAACTGATAAAAAAGTTATCTATCTAAACAATCAGACACAACTAATCAGTAAAATACAACCAGGCAGGAAAGTATCCAGGGGTACAACAAAAGGAGGGGGAAGACAGATCAAAAGAACCAACTTCACTGCCATACCACGCCAAGAAATGGGTTTGGTAGTTTAAAATAAAATCACTTTTTCGGATAGCAAGTCAGCAGTTTTATAGAAGTCTAAAAATAAATTTGATCAATTGAATCGGTAAAAATAAAGAAACTGAAATCGTCTTAGAGCGAATTAAGGAAGGAGGGAAGACAGAAGTGAATACGCTAACAGGACCAACAAAGGAAATTGGCAAGTGCATATATATTTATTATAGAATCGTCTTGCTAAATAACTAAACGTTTTTATTGTTTTATTGAATTCAAAGATCAAACGGAATTCCTATCACATTTATTTTTTAGATATTGTGAACGGTGGACCATTGGAAGTAGAAAAAACAGAAAGAGTAACGATAGAAGGAGGGACAGAAAAAGGAAAGATGGAAGAGAATGACCAGATCGAAAATCAGCCCATAGAAATCGAGGAAACGGGCATTTGATCGCAGAGACCTACTGCAAGGATTGGACTATGAATGAAAAATATGGATGATTTTCTATATGTCCTTATTTTAATATGTCCTCATTTCTGCTATTTTTGGATGACCCTTTTCCTCAAAATACATTCTTAAACATGACTCTTAGCAGACTACATTGATATTTGATAGTGGAAATATCTGATTGAAGGAATTTTAGTTTTTTTAGTTTTTATAGTCTTCCTCTGCTGATGATTGGACAATAAACAAAAAACATTGACTGAAGTTTAAACTTTCGATTACTGAATTTATAACGTCTTCATTACATGCTTAATTTACAATGTTTATTTTCTGAAAATTGTTTTGAATAAATTTTAATTTGAGCTAAACTTAAATGATCTCCTTATATTATTATTGTAATCTATCCAAATGAACAGCAAGAAATCGCGCTAGAGCGAATTTTAAAATTTATTATCTTTGTATGGGACAGAATGAATCGTATAAGGAGTCATTTGTTGTTTTTATAGTTTTATGGATGACTAGAAGTAGAAAGCCCATGGTCACAGGGAGGAGGCTAATAGTATTCTTTCATAGTAAGTTTATCGCATCAATAAGCATCCGTCACAAACGAAGACACAGTCGATAATATGTAAAAAACACTCTACACAACGTAATAACCACAAACTGATAAAAATGTCGCTCACAAATCTTTGCACGTGCACGTGCGCGTTCAACACCGTTTACCATGGTTACTTTGCAACTTATTATTTTTCATCTAATTTGCACATGGGCAAAGTACATACATACAGACAAACATAATCTTTCGATTACCTGATGTTGAGAACAGCTTTATCCTTTAAGATCCTCAAGTAAGCATATTTCCTCATCATGCGACTTTGTAGCCCTTCAATTTTGGAGATTAAATTCCACAAAAAATGTATCTAGTAGATGCTCTGATGAAACTCTACACTGCCATGACTACAATTTACTCCAACATCACCACATTACTTCAATGAACAATGTATTAATATTGTAATATTATATTATCTATACTATGCCGTTACTATGCACCATTTTGCTTTTACCTAATTTGCACGTGGACGAACATAACAACAGACAAAGAGAATCTTTCGAATTATAATTAAGACTAGAAAGCCCGTGGTCACAGGGAGGAAGCTAATAGTATTCTTTGGTAGTCAGTTTTTTATAGCATCAACATTCAACAAATATCCGTCACAACCGAAGATACAACCGATTAAAATGTAGCTCGCACTGAACACAACGTAATTACCACAAAACCGATCAAAATGTCGCTCGCAAATCTTTGCACGTGCGCTTTTGAATACGTTACCATGGTTACTATGCAAATTCCTATTTCTCATCTAATTTGCACGTGGGCGGCCGGCGGTCGTACGTACATACAGTTATTTTATAGACTACGTTCTTATCTTAATCACCATAATGGTCCTAACACGATGACCCTTAATGGTCCTAAAACAATGCAGCTTAATGGTCAGTGTTTGAAAAACACTCATATGAATAGACGCACACGCTCCTTAAAGTAAATGGTTGTATTCAGTTTGGATTTGCTGCTCCTGCCGTAGCCAAACAGCTGATGCTAGTAGTAGTAAATCTTTGATTTAATTACGTTTATATAATAATAGTAAAACCACAATTTACTGTACGCAATGACAGAAGTCTTGTGCTTTAACTAAGATTCAATAATCACAACTTCCATTAACTGTTCAATCCCATTTACCGATAACTAACCTTACCGCTATAACATTACCGCTATAACGTTCAGTGAAATATCGAATGTATGCAGATTATCAAGTAGATCTCTGACGATCTTCCCAAAAGATGAAAAGCACCCTCAGAACTTGTCTGAACTTCAGAACTTGTCTGAACTTGCTCATACTTAGCATCTTAGTACCCCACCTTGTCTGTGGAGATGACATAAAAACGGTGATTAGCCTTTTAAGTGGAGCGTCGAATAATGCTTTGACAACTGTTAAATGTCCTGATGGATACACCATGATTGGTTGCAAGTTAGCAGATGGTAGCTCCTACAGCATCTCAAATGGGCTTTACATTATGCATAACGGCTGTGCTGCATTTGCAAGAGGTGCTACAGGAGTTCAGGTGAGACAGCAATAAGTTTTCTCTTAAGATTTGCAAACCCTAGTGCAAATCTAGTGAACTGTTGGGCCTAACAATGTGCACCTCATCAACGTTAAAAAGTTTAGAATTAGAATAGCTTCTACTGATATGTACTGAGACAGCTTTTATTTGTTATTATTCCCAAAGTATTATAAACAACAACTTTCAGAGTCAGGCAACTTGTCGGAAGAACAGTGAAAAGTTTAAAGTTTAGACTAAGTAGCGTACAATCGAACCCGTTGTGTGAATATAATAACTCCAGCTGTTGACGGTGGATGGAGTGAGTTTGGTGTTTGGTCAGAATGCTCTAAAGATTGCGGTGGAGGAACAAAGAAGAGGGACAGGACCTGTACTAACCCTGCACCTGAAGATGGAGGAGATAAATGCCAAGGAGAGAAATCAGAAAACCAGGATTGCAACACAGAAGATTGTCCAATTGACGGTGGATGGAGTGAGTTTGGTGGTTGGTCTGACTGCTCTGAAGAGTGTGAAGGTGGTACCCAACAAAGATCTAGACAATGTTCCAACCCAGCACCAGCTAACGGAGGAAAGGAATGTACTGGAGAGGACGAGGAGGAAAAGGAATGTAACACTCAAGCCTGCCCTTGTGAGTGAGAAGCTGGTTATATCAACTGTTAAACTTAGAGTTACCGATTCTCTTTCTTTTTACGCTGCCAACTACTTCATCTCACCACACAGTCACTTAACTATTTGTACAATGTGCCCACATTGCCACTTGTTTGCCCTGGCCCAACAAATTCAGACATTTCACAATTTCAGTGGTACAATGTGATGAACTAAACCTTGGGAACACCCACCTCTCGACCATTGTCCGTGTTACGGACACTGTTGTCATAGTAACCTGCTTCAAACCTAAACACTACGTTCTAATTGGTGAACAAGAGGTCACGTGTCAGTCTAATGGACAGTGGACAACAACACCAACATGTGTAAAATGTGGTATGTACATAACTTTTACATTCCGTAACTGTCTTCTGTACATAACTAAATATTCCTCAAATCCTTTTATATAATCAAGAGGCTTACATATGAACATATTGACATGGGTGTAGAGTTGAGCCTGTACGGAACCTAGTAGTTTCAGTTCCTTGTTTAACTTGCCGTACAGCAAGGACATTCACTACTTTAGCCCGGCAACATTTCTCTATTGATGATATTATCATTTGAATAACATTTGAAAAAATTTTTCGCCAGCCATAAACTTATTATATGATGTTTTAGGGAACATCATTAATAAGTTTATGGTCACTTTAAATTGAATTACGAGTGTAATGATACGTTGATTCCCAGATCAGTTTAAGCAAAGTACAATGACTACTGTCAGTAATTATTCACTCCTACAAATACAACCTCAATTCTAACTATATTTTATTAATTTATAGTACAGCACACAGCTCACTTATCTACCTACCTACAGACTGCTCATTATTCCTCTCTCTAACCTTCAGGGTGTGCTGACCAGTACCTCTCAGTATTTCTTAGTAGGAGCTCCTGTAAACTACTAGTTCCTGCTCTCACATACAGCTCTAGTGGCTCCACCCATCCAGAGACCGGCAGAAATACCATTGTATTTATAGACTTCGTTCTTATCTTAATCACCATAATGGTCCTAACACAATGATGCTTAAGGGGGCCGGGGGGGGGGGGGGGTCTTCATCAAAATTCTCTCGAAATTTACTTGTTTCTAATAGAGGGGATATATCTTTATATCTATCAGCTGTTTTTGGTCCCATGAAAAAATATTGTTCCTAGCCGAAATTATTGCTGGTCAAAGGTCAGCGCTTATGAGTAATTGTATTGCGCAAGCGATTTTCGATCGTTCCCCCTGAAAATTGAGTCTAAAAATCTATCTTCTCCTACATTTTTTGAGCAATCACCCTGAAACTTTCAGGATATTATGTTCTAAGGACCATTAAGAAGAGATTGTCGGGCCAAAATTTCAGTCTTTCAGACCAAATCACAAAATCTTTCAGACCAAATCACCAGTCATAATGCTTACGCCTTACAAGTCGATGGTTCGTAGTCTACTAGAATACTGTTGCCAGCTATGGCACCCCTCCAAGTGACATCCAGGAGCTTGAAAGCGTACAAAGCTTTCAACGCAAGGATTACTGGAATGCGTGATCACCATTATTGGGGCCGTCTTCAATGGCTATCTCTAATGTCTCTGCAGCGTCGCAGGGAGCGGTTTAATGTTTATTCCCTTTATTCTACTTCATATGTGGAAGATTCTCCATCACCATACCAGCAACTACATTAACGTGCAGTTTTTCTTTATGCCACGTTTTGGAAACCATGCAGTCATTCCATCTGTTGTTGTTTTGAGTGTCCGATCCTAAACCAAATCCTGGATTACACAAGACGTGGTAGCCTGTGAGGGTGTAACTATAGTGTATACCGCTCCGCTATGTAATGATACAATAGTTGTAAAGGTAAATGCAATCGATTAAATCCACCAGGACGCCAGATAGATCTACTAAAATAAGCGTTGAATATTCAGCGTGGTTGTAAGAACCAAATTGTTCAAAATTATCTGGTGTTCTAGGCTAATCCAAGGCCAGGAAATATGGGAAACAAAAGGTTTGAAGGCAAGGAAGATTCCTGACTGCCCTCTTTAAGTGTTCTATCCTTCTAAGAGCCACGGGGGATTAGCATAATAATGTCATAGCCTCGCCTACCCAAGCAGCGAGATTACTCGCGTTGCATTATTGAAAACGTCAACTTGGAGCTGTTGCTTTGACAAAAACTGGCTTTTCTAGATGGTGAAATTTACAAGCTTTTGGTCTATTTGCAAGCTTTTGATCTATTAACTCGACAGCCTGATGCAAAAAAAAGGTGCCAAAATGGGCCTAAAAATGTAAGAAAGCGTCTATGATTTGTCTAAAAGCGCTGAAAAAATGTCAAAACTAAAATGTCATCAGCCCCATCTTACTATATATAAAGCGAGACGATATATATATATATAATGGCTGGATATATCCGTGCCATTTTACTGACACCAGGGCATCAACTTCAACGCGACTTTCCGCAAAAACCGTAAAAGATATACAACTGAAACTTTTTTGACTGGGTCAAATGCTTTAATGGCCTTCAAATCAGCACGAAAAAATTAAAAATTGGCCAAGGAATTAGAATTTTAGTGCCCAAAATTTGGACTCCCAAGTGGTGTCAAAAACGCGAATTAAATAGGTAATAATTATTTTATTCTCTCGAGTCTTGACACCACTTTAGGGTAGACGGGTTCCTGCTAGTAAAAATAGTGCTTATACAGAATAATTCTTTGAATTGTAATAATGATGTATGGGATTTAATTAATTAATAATGGGTTTTTAATTAATTAACAAGCAGTAATTTCGTTATCAAAATGCGAACACAAAGTTAGTTACTAACAAAATAGACGGACTTTCATGCAAATGGATGGCAGTCAATTGATAATATAAACTATTATCAGTTCGTAATCTACATTTGTAGTGGTATGACGTGTTGTGACCATGATTGGTTACGACCTTGACATACCTGAGGGAAGTCGAGCTCGACGAAAGCCTGAGGTTGCAATCCCTCCTGGGTCAAGTTCCAGAACAGCGTATCAAAGCCGGCCCCAATGTTTATAATCTGACAGTTACTATCATGTTGCTTGATAAAACTCCGCATCGCTTGACGAACACTTTGTACCCTGTCAATAAGGATATAATATGTCACATGGTAACGTTTTTCAAATCTTTTAATTTTCTAATTTACCGAACAGCAATAAATAAACCGGTCTGGTAATGTACCTGACATAATATCCCCGACTAATCTCAGGCGCTTTAGCAGTGGTGCTGTGTACAAAATACTTCAGGTAATCGTCCCTGAAGTAGCGTTTTTCCACACACCATCGCTTACAGTGCGAGGCATCATTGTTAGTCGCTCTGACTCCTTCGTCACTCATCCTACTGACAAAAAGAGTGGAATGTTATACAAATACTTTCAACTTTAGGGACCAGAGAAAATTGTTCTCTGAAGTCTGATCAGAAGATGTAATTTAATTCCGAAATTTAAATTAATTTTGGATTTTTTGGATTGGATTAAAATGTATATTATGCACATTGCTCATATTGCAATAACAACCATGTATTACCTATTATATTGGGATTATATTAGAATAATATAAAATATATTTTTATATCATAATTTGCACCAAAGATTACAGATAGTGCAATGAACATTATACAGAAATGAAAATACAAATATTTTCCTGTATAAAAAAGTAGTCTTTAATAATTAATTTCCTAAAAAGAAACTTTATTAAAATCTTTCAAAAGTTTAAAAATTCTATCGTTCATGACTCTCAGTCAAAAAAAAGAATACACTGCATGGCACAGGTCAAATAATATCATTTATATCCCTAGTCAGCTCACTTAACTCAATCAACTCGTAAAGTTGCACTAAAGTATCAGCATGGGTTTTAAGATGTTGTTTCAACTCGTGAACTAAACTTGTAGAAAAGGAGCACTTGGGGCATCCTAGATTAGTTCGCCTTCTACTCTCTTCCATCTTATCGTCCATTCTCAGATCTCATCTTCCATTCTATTGCACGCCCATTTTAAGTTGTGTTTTGGATAATGTAACACAAGAATAATGAGACATGAAGAATAACCACTGATTTATTGACTATTTATTAATCCCTGCATTGACAGTATTTTAGGAATAAAAACATATAAAATTAATAAACATTAATAAATTATCAAATATTAATTTAATATTTACGTTAAAAAAATTAAAACAATCCGAGATATTTTACAAGATTATATTAATATACCGTTTAAAATAAAGATAAAGAACGTTTAACAGTGTAAGTAAGAATAAAACTAAGAATGTATGCCATTGTCGTTCAGTCAGCAGTCGACAAAAAAATTCGAATCTAAATATGTGTCTCGGTAAACCTCCTGACTCCGAAATAATACCACAAAAATACTTAACCTCTAAACTCTCTAACTGTTCAATACGAGAAGGACTCGTCCATATCACAGTACCCGAACAAATACCTCCCATACGTCCCAAACAGGATAACCGCTTCACACGCCCTGCACACCACCCCAAACATTACCAAACTCTCACTCTGCTGGGACGCAGTTAACACGTACGCTGTGTACAGGGTCACTACCAGGTACTTGCCCAAACCTCGCACCCAGCTGTCCTCCTCCAACATCCCGTCTGAGAAGGTCGCCACGGAGATAGCCCTGATAGCCAGCATGGAGAGGGGCAGGGGTGCAAGGAGCTGTTTAGCGTAGGGGATGATGTAGGATACTCCGAAAGAGATTAACTGTGGTATCCGGATGATAGCTCCCAACATGGTCTGGGCTTGTGGAGCAGTGTTGGGGGGAGGTAGAGAGGGGGCGGGGGTCATGTCGGATAGAGTGATGGTCAGGATCATGTAGCTAGCAAGGATGAGCAGGCAGGCGTCCGATATAATACCTTCTTCCACCGCTATGTTTACAATGAGGATCAAACACGCCGTAAAGAAAAGAGCGACCTGAGGAGTAGTTGGTTGGTCACACACTAAATAGAGGGTGGGGTGGGGGGAGGGGAGGGGGTGGGGCGGGGTTCCTTGTCTACCTATAGGGTTCGTTCTACTCATCAGTCATCACATCTTACATTATTTCAAAAGATCAATATTCAATAAATTATAAAAGATAAAACAGAACTAGAGCCTACCTTAATTGTTGGAGACAGATCAATGTAGAAAACGTTCAGATATGCGGACAGGGCCAGGCTAAGAGTAGATACAGCTATGATAGCGCCTTTAATCAAACCCTCACTCTCCTCGATACGTTCTGTTAAAACCCTGAGGGTATTTCCATTCTGGAATCAGAGAATAGCAACAAAGTTGAAACATGACGCCAGGGCCCTACCAACAACCTAACGTTATTGGTAACTTCAACCTTAATGATCATTTAAAAAGAAGTACCTAAAAAAGGAGTACAATCTAAGAAGGAGTGCCGACTGCCAATTAAACATATATACAATATTTATATAGAACCTTTTCTGCTGTTTCCTTGACCAAAATTTCACAGTTTTACGGAATTTTTGACCAGTGATCAATCATTGAAGTTGGCGAGAGTGACACAAGTCGCCATAAAGGTACTGGAAGCAGAATATCTGGAGAAAACTTTGATGCAATGAAAATTTTCAAATTTCAGCTCCCCGCGACCCAAATTTCACTTTTTTGACTACATTTTTCTTGAATGATCATTCAATGAGTTCACTGTGGATGGTTTGGGCACAAGGCATGATAGATTACCAAAAAAGCCTTGATAAACAGAATATCATCAGAACAGAAGTAAACATTTTGGAAGATTTTTGAACATGTATAACGAGACGTACCTAGAAAACTTTGTGACGAGTAGATATATCTGGTATCCCTCGACGAGAGAAAGAAGAGGAGGAACTGAGAGGAGGATGTAGCTAACACAGGATAGGATCGGAGCTGGGATAAACGCCAGAGGGTACGAGATCAGAACTACACCGCATACTGACACTTGTATCACCTGGTTCAGGGGGGACTGGTCAGATCATCTTGGTAATGACATATTATATATCGCGGCAAAAACTGCGATCTGACCGTCTGGATCCACCTTCTATCCCTTTCTCACCGCACTGTACAAACCTTTGATGACCTCCATTTGAAACAAACCAATTCTTCTTGAATCTTGTCAATACACAATATAGCACCTAGTAGCCGCTCTACTTACCTCATACCTGGCGCGCCACTCCCTGTGTGCGGCGCTCTTTTCAAGCATCATGAACAGGAAGCTGATACGAAGCTTATATGTGAGAGAAGCAGGCTACAGTACGGAAAAAAAGTATTGAGACTCATTAACGCGGGACTTTGTACACTTTCGAGCGTTACGAATCTCTGTAGACCCATTTAATTAGTTTAAGGGGGCCGGGGGGGAGGTCTTCATCAAAATTCTCTCGAAATTGATTTTATAATTGTTTCTGATAGAGGGGAGTGATATCTATCAGCTGCTTTTGGTCCCATGGAAAAATATTGTTCCTAGCCGAAATTATCGCTGGTCAAAGGTCAGCGCTCATGTGTAATTGTATTGCGCGAGCGATTTTCAATCGCGCGTCCTGAAAATCGAGTCTAAAAATCTTCTCCAGAGGAGGAGGAGGACTGATGAGGACTAAGGACGAGGACGACTAGTGTAGGACTGAGGATGAGGACTGATGAGGAGAAGGAGGAGGAGGACTGAGGAGGACAATGAGGAGGAGACTGAGGAGGAGGAGGAGGACTGTTGAGGAGGAGGAGGAGGATGATGAGGAGGAGGACTGAGGAGGACGAGGACTAAGGACGAGGAGGAGGACTGATTAGGAGAAGAAGAAAGCGAAGAAGGAGGAGGAGGATGAGGCTAGGAGGAGGAGAAGGAGGAGAATGAGGAGGAGGACTGGGGAGGACTGAGGAGGAGGATAAGTAGGATGAGGACGAGGACGATTATGAGGAGGACAGAGAATGAGGACTGATGAGGAGGAGAAGGAGGAGGAGGAGGAGGAGGAGGAGGAGTGAGGACTGAGGAGGACTGAGGAGGAAGAGGAGGATGACTGAGGAGGAGGATGAGGAGGAGGACTCAGAAGGAGGACGAGGACTAAGGACGAGGAGGAGGACTGATTAGGAGAAGAAGAAAGCGAAGAAGGAGGAGGAGGATGAGGCTAGGAGGAGGAGAAGGAGGAGAATGAGGAGGAGGACTGGGGAGGACTGAGGAGGAGGATAAGTAGGATGAGGACGAGGACGATTATGAGGAGGACAGAGAATGAGGACTGATGAGGAGGAGAAGGAGGAGGAGGAGGAGGAGTGAGGACTGAGGAGGACTGAGGAGGAAGAGGAGGATGACTGAGGAGGAGGATGAGGAGGAGGACTCAGAAGGAGGACTCAGGAGGAAGAGGAGGATGACTGAGGAGGAGGATGAGGAGGAGGACTCAGAAGGAGGACGAGGACTAAGGACGAGGAGGAGGACTGATTAGGAGAAGAAGAAAGCGAAGAAGGAGGAGGAGGATGAGGCTAGGAGGAGGAGAAGGAGGAGAATGAGGAGGAGGACTGGGGAGGACTGAGGAGGAGGATAAGTAGGATGAGGACGAGGACGATTATGAGGAGGACAGAGAATGAGGACTGATGAGGAGGAGAAGGAGGAGGAGGAGGAGGAGGAGGAGGAGTGAGGACTGAGGAGGACTGAGGAGGAAGAGGAGGATGACTGAGGAGGAGGATGAGGAGGAGGACTCAGAAGGAGGACGAGGACTAAGGACGAGGAGGAGGACTGATTAGGAGAAGAAGAAAGCGAAGAAGGAGGAGGAGGATGAGGCTAGGAGGAGGAGAAGGAGGAGAATGAGGAGGAGGACTGGGGAGGACTGAGGAGGAGGATAAGTAGGATGAGGACGAGGACGATTATGAGGAGGACAGAGAATGAGGACTGATGAGGAGGAGAAGGAGGAGGAGGAGGAGGAGTGAGGACTGAGGAGGACTGAGGAGGAAGAGGAGGATGACTGAGGAGGAGGATGAGGAGGAGGACTCAGAAGGAGGACTCAGGAGGTGGAGGAGGATGAGGAGGAGGACTCAGGAGGAGGAGGACGACTATGAGGAGGACTCAGGAGGACTGATGGGGAGGAGAAGGAGGAGGAGGAGGAGAAGGAGAAAGAGGAGGACTGGGAGTAGGACTGAGGAGGAGGGGACTGAGGAGCAGGGTGAGGAGGACTGAGGAGAAGGACGAGGACGAGGAGTCAGGAAGAGGACTGAAGAGAACTGAGGAGGAGAAGGACTGAGGAGGAGGAGGAAGACTTAGGAGGAGGAGGAGGAGGACTGATGAGAAGGAGGAGGAAGACTAGGGAGGAGGAGGAAGACATGTAAATGTTTTGTCTGTTTTTGTCTGTTTTTGTCTGTTTTTGTCCGTTTTTGTTCGCCCTACTTTTTGTCCGTTTTGAAAATATAGGGTACCGAACGGACACATCACATGATCTCCCAGCCAAGCATGTGTTACGATACAAATGTACTTGACTATACATTTAAGGTGCAGTGTACTAGTGATATTATGGTATGTTTAAAGACCGGACCACAAAATATAACCCGGTACCTAGTGTTGTACTAATACATAATAACAAGTAACAGGGATAAAATTAATGAGCAGAAACAATCGATCTCACGTCAAAAGGCCAAAGCACTCGGGTCTGGGAGTACATGACAACTCCAACTAGTAGTGAGCATACTAGCGCCCCTGCAGTGGAAAAACACATAAAACATACTATTGGAATGTCCAATTGGTTCGTTTCCTCATAACAATATAGCATATGTAGGGGTTCTGGTTGAATTATATCACTTCTGAGAGGTTTTAGAGATCGATTCTGTAAATTTCTCAATTTTCCGATTTTTCCGATTCCGATTTTGGCCTCATCAACCCTCATATCGGACATCGGGTTGGACCCCCCCCCCCCCCCCCCCCCCCCCCCCATTATCAAAGAAGTGAATTATAGTACTAAGCAAAACACTGATGAAGAAAAGTCGCGGAAAATCTGAAAAATCGCGGGGGATTGAATAATGATATCGCGATTACGTACATGCGCGATTAATTGTTGTCCTTTGAAACAAAATGATCTGATTTACATGAGGAGCTGCACTGAAGCTGCATGAAGTTGGCTCACCTCTCTAAGAAAAGGAGAGAGGGAAGAGAGTAGCAGTCCCAGAGCGGTGTAACCCGTGTAGATGAGATAGAGGTGCAGCAGGAGGTCCGGACCAGAGGAGAAAGTGAGAGCTGGAGCAGTTAGCACATACAGCACCAGGAACGCCAGCTCCGTGAAGAGCAATCCGCAGCACATACCTAGTCCGAGCAACATTATTATTATACAGCTCCTACTAGTGGACATTACACATTTTATTTGCAATTATAAACACTGTCGGGATAACTGTTTTACAGTTTCACTGCCAATTTAGATATGAAATACTAGATAGTGTATTAAACAACATGGGACGGCTCGATTAAAAATTAAGAATATTACAGAACCTTCTGGTTTTATAGTTAGTCACAAACTTTCATTTAACAACTCAAGTTCAGAATTGGGCTTTAATTGGAAATTCGATCCCTGTCCCTACATGTCAGCCACTTTTTTCCCCATGTTAGTTCATTTTAAGTTCAAGTCCTGACTGAAGTCAGCCGGTAAGCTGTTGGTGTCTTCTCCCATATTTACCTAGGCCGTACAATGTACATAAGGGAGTACAATGTACATTATTACTTTTGTACTGGTAATAAGTAGCAACTAGCACGGTTCACCATTACTCTATCATGACTGCTAGAAGCTACACTTTAATTACACACTAAGGGCCAAAGACACCATATTCTAATCACACATTGCAGTGTAGATAAGCACTTGAAATCGCAACAAAATGTAAACGATTACATACAATAAAAGGACACTTATAAAAAGTTGTGTAACTGTACCGAAACCATTTATTTACGGATGATTAAGCCTGACTGCAACATTTTGTAAGATGAATAATTGACTTGAACTACACTATTGAGTACAGGTTATTTTTACTAATAATTAATAATAACCACACCTACTAGTACTACTCTTAAATTTCAAATTTTGTAAACAAATTCGATATGAAGTATCAGATATACATTAATACATCCAATACAAATACAATATAATTGAAACAAGTAAATAAATTCGTGTTAAACATAATAGGTACAGGAACTAATACTGTGAATCTTAGTATTAAGTTTAAAAGTAAAACTCGTTAGGTTTCGTATAAAATATTTCTTGCATAATAATGCATAATAAACTTAATTAATACATTTTAGCTTCTCCTCTCTGTTCAGTGAAACATCCCGTCACCGGACCAGTTTATTCCACAGCAAATTATTGCAGGACTAGTTTCAGTTTTATGATTTATTTTAAGTTCAACATGTAGAATTAATGTGCGGGACCAATTCAAATATCTCACAATTTCGACGGACCTCATCTGGTCCGGGGATCAAAGCTTAGTTAACCAATAAAAACTGCTACAATTATTCAAATAATTCAAACAAAATACAAATAAAATGTGAAATAAAAATCTGATCAACCCTTCGAAACAATAATAATGTAATGAAACATACGGGTCGGTAATATGAAATAAAAAAAACAAAGTATTTCCCCGGTAAATTATCAAGTGCCTTTAGTTTCCGTTGAAGGACCAGGCTGCTGTCCATCTTGCATGATCCTTGCTTTCTTAGAAACCTCCCCAGACGGTCTCACACTGCTCTCCTTCCCTTGCTTGACAGGAGTAGACTCTTGTAGATTCTTCGCTGATTTCTTCGCTTTTCTCTCGGCTGCTTGCTGGGCTTTCTTCATTAGCTGCATCAGTGTGAAGAATCGATCTTTTACCTGAATGTTATACAAGTAGACACATAATACTATATAAGATTGAAATAAGTGATCTATGTGCCATGAGACAAGGACACCATAAACAAGTCAGAAGTTGCCAGGTGTAAATTGTAATCCAGAGTGACCAGTTTTGCACGGTACCTGTAAACTAGATTTGTGGGGGAATGACTTTGCCAGAGCTTTGAAAGTCTTGGACCTGGGTCGTGAGGTCCGGCAAGCTCTGAGGATCTCTCGGTCCTGCTCCCTGGTCCAGGTCAGGACCACATCCCCACATTCAACTACGTTACGGGCCGGCATTTCTGAAGAAATCATCTTCTGTTAGCACACTTCTTAAACTATTCTAACATTCACAGTGCCGTGCTGTGGACAGATAAGGGCTGACAAAACCTGGTAGTCAATTTAATTGCTACATTCATTAAATTTTCTCACTTCTTTTTTCGAGTTTGAGTAGTCGTTTTGTTTCCTCTTCCTGTCGCTTCTTTTCCACCTTATCCTCCTGCTCCTGCTTTCTTTGATCGTTCACCGTCTTGTTGATACTCTCAATCAACTTGTTGTGCTTTTGTGTAGAAGCGGACTGAAATAATTTTGAAACACTTCAGAAACCAATTTGGATAATAACTAATAATTATCAAGTCACTTGATCAGTACCACAGAAATTAGTGTTGGGTGTACAATGTACACCTGTATGATGTACACAGTACATCAGCAATTTATAAACTCACCGTTTTCTCCAACAAACTCAATTCCTCGAAACCATCAGCGTTTGGAGAGATAGCAGCGTTCTTATCAGTCAAATCAATGTATTCAAAATCGTTTGCTTTTGGCTTGATAGCGCATTTATCAAAAAACTCTGCCACCTGAGACCAGACTCGTTACAATTGAAAAACAGTTGAAAAACTTAGCAGTGAAAACACCAGGATGACTAAAACGGGTGTTTTTAAAAATTTGATAACTGAATTTAAAAACAAGCTCCAGACAGACCTGGTCACTGAGCTCAGGCTTGCCCCGCAACATGCTCAGAAGCGTGTCTCTTGTGGCAGCAGGGTTATTCAAATTCGCCCCAAGTATCATCTTAATTATCTTCTTGTATTGGTTCGGATCTGGGGACGGAAAATATCAGGTTTTTGGAGATAAGCAGAAAGGCAACAGATATCATCCGATAATAAATATCGTCGATAAAGGTTTTCAAAAATGCAAAGCATTCTTATAATTATGTATTAGTAATAATAATATATCGAATAAACTTACTGTTCTTAAAATGACGCTCGAGGTTCCTCATGAGCAGTCGAGTTTTGACGTGGCTCAGAGTTTCCAGTAGTTGCTCTACCGGGAGATCTGGTAAGGGTGAGAATATTGAGAGGAACTCGTAACTTAGATCCGGGTAACTGTTGAGGATGTTCAGTATCTTCCTGATAACGTCCTCACAGTCAAACTCAGCCAGTTGGTTATACTCCGCAAGCAGTTTAAACACGTTGAAATACGTAGTATAATCGTTCTTCAGCACTTCCTTCGCTTTCAAGAGGAAGGCAATCTCGAAACCATGGTTCTCATCGGTGGTGGCTAACTTTGTGGCTGCTACCACTGCCTCCTTGTTACACTGTAGTTTCTGGCGCTTCTTATTGTACTCTCTCTGGATCTTACGACGATGGTCTCGCAAAGCTACCAGCCAGTCCAGGTTCTCCCTCTTGACGGCCGGTGCGATAGGACGGTCCCCTCGAGGGGTTACAGGAACTGAGAGGCTCTTCATCAGTTTGGTGGTTGTGTACTGAGTGTCGTATCTGATGTAACTCGTGTCTTTCCAATGCTTAATCACGTTGTTAGGGGCGGAGGATGACGTCTTGTTTTTCACTCTTATGCTGATTTGTTTGGCTGTTTTGGTTGGGAGGAAGTGGTCTCTGATATATTCGTAAACTACTTTCTGTTCTTTGACAAACCGGAAAGCGTCCAGTCCGTGAGCAAGAAGGTTGTCTTCAAGCTCTGTGAAACATCTGTTAGCGTTCGGTCGAATTTTGGTCTGACATATGAAGTTAACTGTTGGTCTTATGTGGTGGAACTTTTGGAAGAATGGCTGGTAGTTGAGCAAGTAGTACTTGTTACGAGGTAGTGGCTCGATGTGCTTCACGTGGGAAACTTCTGGAAAATAAGAAGTAGGTTAGATAAACAGCTACCAATATGACTCAGTAAAACAGAAAACAGTAAATCATCTGACGACGGTTCGTAGTCTTATATTATGTAATGGTAAAATAGACAGGTTACCTCTGGCGACTTTGAGGGGTATGGGCAGGGTTGGAGACACATCATCTACAGGCTTCTCTCGGTCAGCAAGCTTCAAAGCTGGGTAAATATCCAAACACTTTAGAATAGATGTGGGCCCCTCTGATTCGCCTTTCATAGCTTGCAAGAAGCCTTCTGTCGAGCTCTGACTGCTCAATTCTTCCAGTTCTTCCTGAGAAATCAGAAGTACATGCAACGGAAAGAGAATCTGACATAGCATCATCACACATCAAAGTACTGTTAAACTGGTTAAACAAACAACGGGACCACGTACAATTCTCGTTCGAGCGATATCCTTGTTCTTGGCGAGACTGACAACATCGTGAGCAAGCACAGTGTGTTGGACGAGAAGCTGCAAGTGCATTTGGAGCTGTTCCTTCAGTATTTCTATCGAATGGGGCGTGAAAAGAGGACCCTCTACGATTTGTGCAACCTCTGACCTGAATAAAGTGAGCATTATATAATGCAACAATATTGATAAATGTAGCAGTTATTAACGGCTGAGCGAAATGACTTGCGAATATCACGAACGGAGTTATTGGTGATTTTGGTTTTTTGACGTCAGCATTCAAATTGGCGCGTATGCCCATACATGAACCCGCACCCCTTAACGCAACAGGACCAGACTTGTATAAACAATTCTGACATTATTAATTACTAAAAACATATGCCACTTACGAGAGTTTGCAATTCCTGGACCGTGAATTGAGTTGCTCGTTAACATCAGGATGAGAAAGTTCCAAATCTCTCATCATTTCACCCATCTCTTTTTTTGTCACTCGCACGTCTTTATCCGTCCGAAACTCTTCTGGCTCGAACCGGAGTTTCTCTCGGTACATATAAAGCATCTGGGGTAGCGGATGTTAATCGACTGAAAAGAAGGAAATAAATTCTTCTCAACCGCGATTTATCCATTGATTCAGCTTCAATTCACGATAATTTCAATTTGGGAGAGATTGAACAGAATACATACATTTTGGTTTTGACGTAGAAATTAGAAATACGAATCGATAAAGTAAGTTATAACGGAAACGTACATCGTGCAAACTCTCGTCCTCAGGAAATTCTTCTCTGGGATTAGCGATACCCTTGAGAAACCTCCCAAATGTTCCATCATCGGCCGCGTCCTCCTCGGAAGATTGGGACGATTCTTCGTCTGTTAAATTGTCAAACTCGTTACCTAACTCTTCTTCTAATCCCTGAAAAGATTAATCATTAATTAAAGATTTTCTTTTTAGCACTTTCAGATGCATATATTTCAATCATTATGTCATGAGACCCAAGCTAGACGGCATACAATGTGTAATCGATTACGTTCGTATCGACGGCACATCTTTTAGGACACACCCCTTGTGAATGGAGGAATTTACATAGCGCAAGTTATACGCTTACATCCCAATTATCTTCAGACTCCTCCGCCACACTGGTATTAGGATCCTCCTCCACCTCAATATACTCCTCCAGAGTCCTGGCTCTTTCTACAAACTTCCCCTTTTCTCCGTTCTCATCGTCATCTTTCTCGTCATCGTTGGGTAACGCAGATTCCAGCTCCAGCAAATCTCGATCTTTCAAGCTGAATAGTGATCGTGTACGCTTTGCTAATCCAACCTGTAGAATATTGATCACTGAGGTGAAATCTTTTGAGGATTAGATATTTAACACCTGCCGTTCTGAAGTTACTTTCCCTCCACCTATAACCATTCTTAAATCTTATTGTCACACGATTTGCAGTGGTAGTTCCACCAGCATATTACACTAATGTATGTCTCTTAACTAAATGAATCCATGGTCGACCGATGACCCGCAACTCTTATCACTTCATACTTATCATTCTTATCTCCTTAGTAAGGTGGGGTGCCGGAAAGCTATCGGAAATGACGTGACCAAATCCATTCACAGATAACAGTCATGGTTGTGACGCAATTTACAGTGGTAGTTCCACCAGCACATTACACAAATTGGTGTCTCTAAACTAAATGAAGCTATTCTCGACCCGCCTGGTGCTAAGGCAATTAAAAAAAGGGGTTGGTCGAGTTAGTGGCAGATAAAACGGGAAGTCGCTAGCGCGCTTACCTTAGATCGAGTTATATTTAAAGATAACGTACTGTACTTAAATTAAATTATTAAATAATATAATTAAGTTAGCGACGCGCAGCACGTCTAAATTTGAACAACTTTTTATAACAAATTTATATCAGCGCGCTACTGTAGATATGTTAAGTAGACCCTTTTCTAGGATAACATGTCGGCATCCGGGAGGTGGAACATCTAGTACCACATTTCCACTGCCAAAGGAACCGCATTATTCCTGCTACTAACTGATAAATGTGGCACTAACCGAAGGTGTTGCAGGCTCACTGTCACACTCTGAAGGCTTGTTCCTTCGACTGCTCGGTGTCATGATGATAGATTTGGGGGTAGTGGGAGCTAACGACTCTTGCTCGTCTTCACTGAGTATATTATAATATGTAAATGTTATAATATGTAACTATTATAATATGTAAATGTTATAATATGTAAATATTATAATAAGTACATTACTAATGTATGTAAAACCACCAACATTTATATAAATGCAGGGAGATTTACTAGCTTTGAAATCAGTTACTACTTTAAATTTCTACTTCACAGGATATAAAAACCTGATCCCACGGTAGGATTATCCTACCTGTAATCACTACCCTCAGTGTCGTGGTGGGGCACGTAGTCCTGATCCTCTTCCTCATCTTCCTCTTGATCATGTTCAGGTGATCTGACTTCCGGCTGAAGAAGCAGGGTGAGCACGACATAACGACTATCATCTTATCTTTACTTATTATTGTTATATATAATATTGCTTACATTGTACGTGTTATATTACTGATCAGTTCCAAGTTCAAGTATTTGCGCTACAAGTATAAGTTGGACTAACAATTGTCAACAGTGGATCTGAGCAGCTGGGCTGAGTCCCAGTTTCTTGTTCTAGAACTTTCTGTTTAGCTGCCCTAGTTTTAGGCTCTGGTATCTCGAGGGGAGTGTGAAAGTCCTGCTCACTTGGGTCCCAGAAATCCCGCGCTCCGCCAACTCCAAGCACCACATGCTGAAATAAAGAGTTTGAAATGAACGATACAGATGTGGGGAGGGAGGGAGGGGAATAGTGCATGTATTTACCTACAAAACTATCCTGACACGCCTTCCTTTTTACTGCTGCTGTGGCACATCCCTCACTCAGCTTATTTAGCAAGTGGTGTTTAGCTTTGATTTGTATAATTAAAGTACAATAGCAGCTTTAATTGTTAGCGAGTCAACCAACAAGTAAAAACTGGTCTTGCTAAGCAGGGTATACTTTACTTTTAGGGTAAAATATGCTAAATTTCAGACATTTGTATTAATAAATGTGCCTGCATTACTTACATTTACAAGTCATTACGTAAATACACATTTAACATTCCCAACATTCTAAATTCTATTTTCGAACTTTTAAAATAAACTTTTATTTACAAATTTACTACATTTCTTGTGATCTGAAAGATATGACAAATACTCAAATACTGGTCTAAGATCAAATTAGAACAGCTATAACAATTGCATCTAAGACACATTTTTCTGGAAGTGATCAGCAACAAAGAACTGCACGTGCATTTAAAGCATTGTAACACCAGAACACTGTCAGAGTTCATAAAATGATATGGCCCATTTCAAGGATCTATTTATTCTCTGTTTATTTATTATGTGTCTATTGATTATATCAGTTATTTAGAATATACATTCGCATGTATCCACACTATATTTACATTACACGTTCAACGTGATATCATTATCAGTGCAGTCTATCTATCTATTGATTATGTATCTATTAATTCTGTGAATATTGATTTTGTTTCTAATCGTTTGGGACTAGTGATTGTGTATCAACTGATTCTGTGCCTGTGTCTTATACTTTGGTTCTTGACCCTACCACCATTACATTGTATTAAACTTGCACCCCCAGGGTCTCAGTGGTATTAAGAAGAGTTTACTAAGCAGGCCTCCAGAAAAGAGTAGTCCCATTTGCATTAGTGTCATGTGGACAATGACTGTTGAGACTCGAGTGTTGAGTACAATCTCAACACTCAGTACACTTAAATCATGCTTTCATTGTAAATGTATGGAGAGGTTACTTGAGGTAACATTGTGGAGGCGGCTCACAATACACCAGCTGTTTAAACGTGAACCTTCTAGTAAGAAATACCTGAATATGTGAAAAGAGAATGTGTCACCAGGTGTATACTGTATACTGTATTCGCATCATGATAAGTCACTCATATGCATTATGCGGTTACATGTGAGTGTATTTTTGTCTACCCATTTTACCTCTACAAGAGATTCTAGAGAAGGGACGTAGATATCAATCTGTTTGAGGGAGGGAGGGGGAGGGCCGGGGGAGGGCTAGCGAACATCAACCGTTATAAAAATTAGTACAAATGTTTGGGGGGAGGGAGAACTGACCGTTAAATATAAATCAAGAACTATTAGCGACTAACGTAAAGAATATTCCTGATGTTAGTCCCGGTAAGGTTGAAAGCACCAGCTCGTTCCTCTATCATCCTATCTATCTCATCGTTATCACAGAGGAAGTCAGGCAGGTCTGCAAAGTCTCCTCCATTATCTTCCTCTTCCTCTTCACGGCTCATAGAGAGACAGCTCAGCTCATATCGCTATCACATATTCTAGTGGTTCAACTCTATTAATTATTATCCACGTCAGTGACGCCATGACGTGACGTCATACAATAACATTGCAGCTCCTGTTATTACTGCAGTAGGGATAGTTTCTGTACATTTTATTATTGAAAATACATTAACTCTTTAAAAAAGATCTGTTTGTTCGGGAGTTTGATAAAGGTGTTGCCTGACGCAACAATAAAAGCCGTCTCGATTTAAACACTTGCGTTTTTTACACTTCTCTACTGTAATATTTGGGATATTTGTTAGGATCCTTATATTTCAACAAGAACAGCCTATATGTGAATAAGTGTCTAATTACTGTAATTTTAATTGGGTATTAATTACCAATACTCCAGATACATCAACAGTATGTTAACGCTAAGTGGAAAGCAGAAGTAACAGCTTTCTCTAAACGTTGTAAATATTGCAATTCAGTAGACGGTAATACTCAAATTACAGTTCGCTGCTCAGAGCTCAGGACCTGTCTTACTTTCCTAATATACACAAAATACTCTCAAATAATCGCAACTCTCAGCTCTGCTGTCAAGACTCTAGTGTATTAATCATGTATTACTTATTTAATTGTGTGCTCTGATTAACGTGATCCAGGACTCTACGTACTAACTTGTAGATTGTAATATTTGAAATGAGAGGAGAATATACCCTACAACAAGATAAGTGATCTGTATGTATACAGATCAGGGACAAAAGGATTTCGCGATTATTTTGGCCAAAAATCGCGGTACCGCGAAATTTAGGGAAATTTAACAGGCTATACATTAAACTATACATAAAATTTGTCGCGGAGAATGGGAAATTTCGCGATTTCGTACATGCCGCGAAATCCTTTTAGATATACTATACAGTATGTATAGTATTTAGCGGTGCAATTTACTAGACTTCAAGTACAAGCTAATTCCTTAACGGTAGAAAAATCAGGATGAACTTCGTATTATAGCCACACATACATTCACTTACATAATATGAGAAAGAAGCTGGCAGATGTCCAAATGCTGGGGACAACAATAGTGCACGGTTCTAATAGGGCTTCTAATAGCATCGTTATTCCCTGGTCTCAGATCATAGTCTTTGTTCAACAATCCCACATTTGCGAGAAAAATAGTTCAGGTCTTTTAAATACCTAAAATGTTTGGCACTCATCCAATACAATAATTGAAGAACATTTCGTTTTAGACAAGAGAGTTTAACATGAAGTTAACAAAGTTATTAACATCCGGAGAGTGTCAATGTGTCAATGTACTGGGTTCATTTACCATAACATGAGAATCTATAGAGACAGTTTTTGTGGTGTAGTGATATGTGACTGTGGTGTGACTGTGTTGTGTATTAGTTCCATTGTCTCATCATTACGTTAGTGGACATTGGGGATAATTGCCAGCTGTCTGGGGTGTGTGCCGGGTAGATCCTGTAGGTACAATAAAGCAATACTGGATGTAGATCCTGTAGGTACAATACAGCAATACTGAATGTAGATCCTGTAGGTACAATACAGCAATACTGGATGTACAGACTTTTTTTTCAATTGGCTCGCCCAACCATGGCTACTTCACATATTATAATAGCTTCCGTTACCAGGGTAACACCAGTAATGTTACCGTTAGCAAACAATTCTTGTTTAAACCCTAGCTCACATTTAAAATACTACTACTGTATATTATAAATACTCCTGTGCATTTCTCTGCTTCCTTTTTCTAGAGCTTGTTTGCCATTGTCACAAGGTGGACGATAAACCGTACGTGAAACAAAACCCAATTGCTATCATATTCTCACATTTCAGCTTTCCTTATCAATGTGAGATAAGGGAAAAGCTTGGGAACTTGACGTCATACTTACATTTATCAGAGTCACAAGTTAAACAATACTTCTTATCTAGTGTTCACAGCTGTTTTATTTCGTCTTATCGGAAGTAGAAGTGGAAGTTCCACTTCCGAATGCACCAGAATGCGCAATGCAAATGGTGACCTCACTCTTAAATCCGTTTTCTTATTCAATTAAAGAATAACGATAAATGAACGGGTTTATTAGTATAATATATATTTGAATAAGCTTCAATATTCATATTCGGAACTTCCTACCCTGATTTCGTTAAGCTGAGGCAGGTGGCCCACTTTTTTCTTAGAAAATCAGATTATTTTTCCTTCAAACTTCTATTTTCTCAGAGTTTTCCTTTTCAGTTTTAAATCCAGAACAAACATTACTTATTCACTTCAGTGTTACGTGTTATTTATTAGTTGCTAAGTAAAGCAGTGAAACATCGAGTACAGTAAAATTTATAAATTAAATAAGTTTCATTTCTGAACTGATCCCTCAAAAATAGGATTTAATAAAAATAATATGGTCGAAGGTTGCACTGCAACATATAACAAGAATACATAAAAAGAATACATAATGAGAATATTATATAATATAATACGAATATAAAGTATTATTATATTATAGTATATACTTTAAATTATTTCATACTTTCAAGCGAAATGTGCAACGTATCTATCGTGCATGATTCAATGAAAAACAAACATTTCTAATTTGAAAAATTTAAATAGCTATCAAATAATTATGAAACAATATCAGAAATGCCTAATAATATATTTAGTTTTACAGATAAGTCTCAATATTCTCAGTACAGCTGCTCCACCAAATTTCCTATAAAACTCTTTTATCTTTTCTCTTCTTTAAAGTCTGTAATAATCTACAATAGTCTATTACTTCCTTTTATTAAGTATTCTGTAATATAAAATTTCCATTTCACGTCACTCTCAACTCTCTATATTCTAATCTCCTCAGCTATTCTCCCTTACTCTATCTGAACCAATAACTACTCAAAAGTTACACACACCCCCACGTGGGCCCCACGTGTCAGGCTCAGTGACCACGTGTCAGGCCCAGTGACCACGTGTCCTCAGGTAACCAAGGTAACCAACCCCGGGGGATTATGTACAACTCGCATTGTATCCGCTCTGTATTAAAGTGTCTTTAATACCCTAACAAATATCACATGTCACGTTAATGAGGGATTCACCTCAGGACTTTCATAAAGTAGTGAGGTTTCTTTTCCTCATCTGTTGAATGGAGGTGGAGGACGGGGGTATTGACCTGTAATTAATTCAATTTTAGTTAATTATTAATTATATCAACTTGATTAACTTATCCTCCATTTCAATCATCGGTAAGTAGTATTTCCAACTTAAAAACAATTTAAGCTAGATCCATACCATTGTATTTGTAATTGTGTACTATTATATAATTATTGTGACTAATGAACATGGTTCTACGAGAAACTCAGCTTGATAAATTAATAATAAATTAATATCTAAGAGTAAAACTGACCCCTCCTAGGATTTCTGTGGTCTCTGAAGTTTCCATTGTATCCTCCCCTGCAGTAAGAATCGTTAAAGTTTTGAAACTTGATTCGAATTTTACAATTCTAGAAACAAATTTTCTTTAAAATTAGCGTATCGTTAAAATCAGGTGTGCTTTCCGTCTTATCAAGTAAAACGTATAAGTGAATAAGCTTATCGGACTGTAGCTGTGTGCGATTTTATGCAAATGTAATAAACGTGACAGTAGGATGTATTTTCTTTGAAAAGTCAAGTACACTACACTGAAGCTGACTCGTGTCGACAATGACACGGATAACAAACCAGGTACGGTTTTGGAATTATCATGTTCTAAAAGTCAGGTACGCAAGAAGTTAATGTTACATAAATAAATAAATGATTTAACAAATCTGCAGACCTGATGTTAGGGGTAGAGGGCCGGATGGGCCTCATGTCGGGGCCCATGTTGGGAGGCAGACTGGGGTCTGTGATTATCTCACTAATGTTCGGCATCTCGGCATATAACATGGTGAACCTGAAATCATTAACTTTAGTACACACACCTAGGTGGATCTAGCTTGAGAAGACAGTGTCTACGGCAACTGACTGGCAAAAGCAGTGCTTGTCTTATTCTGATAGGTACACTAAATCAGTCCAAAAACTTATCTAGATCTTTACTTACTCCCCAACTTTAGCGACGCTGCCACTGCGACCAACATAGACTACTAATCTGTTGCTGTATACCCCCATGTAACAGTTTGTTAGCTGCAATATATCTGATTCCTGGAAAATTTGTATAATTTAGTAATCACACCTCACCTGTATAGAATCACACCTCACCTTATTATATATATTATTTTTTATTATATATATTATTTTTTATTATATATATTATTTTTTGAGTAAACATTGGCTGGTACTTCGGGCCGGTCCCCAACAAAAAAAACCTGTATAGAATCACACCTCACCTGTATAGAATCACACCTCACCTGTATAGAATCACACCTCACCTGTATAGAATCACACCTCACCTGTATAGAATCACACCTCACCTGTATAGAATCACACCTCACCTGTATAGAATCACACCTCACCTGTATAGAATCACACCTCACCTGTATAGAATCACACCTCACCTGTATAGAATCACACCTCACCTGTATAGAATCACACCTCACCTGTATAGAATCACACCTCACCTGTATAGAATCACACCTCACCTGTATAGAATCACACCTCACCTGTATAGAATCACACCTCACCTGTATAGAATCACACCTCACCTGTATAGAATCACACCTCACCTGTATAGAATCACACCAAGGACTCCACAAAGACAGCTCCACTGACCCAGTCTGATCTGCTACTTTACAAGCCTTCACTGTCTGTCCCCCTTTAACAACTTGAGGGTCCCCTGGATCAGAGCTTTACTTATTTGGGCAGAAAACATGTGAGTAAATATAATAGTTGATTGATTGAAATAAATTTTCGTGCACATACAGAATGAATGGTTAATAATTTAATATATATGTAGACCAAGGTCTGTGCACGGGATGCTTCCTGGAAGAATCCAGTTCTTTTAGCGGGGCACCCTACCTAAAGCCAAATTGAGATATAATAATCATATTCCTAGAGAAATAATCAGAAATCGAATACCAATCAAATAATATGATATATAGGAGTAGTAACCATATTTACTATGCAAAATGCCCCAACCACATAGTGTAAATTTATATAGAATTCAAATTCCATATCGTATCATCATTAAACCTCAATAGTCAATATAATAGCCCAAGCAAAATTAAATAACTTCTTATATACCTTACTGTCATACTACAAATTAATTAAACATTTGAAATCTGTTAACCAGAGAATAAATTTCTAAACCTAATGCAAGTGAAATAATTTAGATGCAATAATGAATGCCTAATGTGAGTATCATCTGTCAATGTCCTTGTAAAAAAGTCTGTAAAAGAGATATGAGTAACTAATATAGAAGAAAAAACAGGAAGTTGTCGTCTGTTGAAAGTAAGTAGCAACAATGAATTGAGGAATACTGTGAAGGATCGTGGAGCATACATTACCTACATGTAGTACGATAACCCGGAGGTTCACACTCTTCATCCCCATACAAAGGTCTCCAACCTTGTGGTTATGAACTGTCTGCGCCATCTAGTTGTAAAACTGTTAGAGGATTCTTGTGTCATTTGGGATGATTGCCAACGATAAATCGCACGGCAGATTGCAAAATTAACATTGTTGGCTTGATCAGTATGATCTGGTATATTTCAAACGGTTGGATAGTCTGGGGATAAAACACAACTCGTATGACAAGAAAAGGTGTAAAAGATTTGAAAATCGTATACATTGTACAGTATGATAGAATACATATAAACATTATGTATTGGTTCTCAAAAAACGAAACATCATGAAAACTGATTAAGACGTAGAATTAAATGGGATAACAATTACCCCGCCACGGCGTTGTCCAATGTAACTAATTATAAATTTTCAAATATTCACCGAGCTCGGTATTGCGATCTTCAAAATATAAAATAAACATTTTGTATATGCCATGCAAAGTATTCATGAAAAATTTAATCACAATGATGTTTTCTCAAATATAACATTATATCAAATTTTTTACATCGATAAACATTTAAATAGCATGCCAAATTATTCTAGAAGTAAGTAAACAGTGTACTTAACTATTTCACGGATTCTGAACTTGTGCATCTTGTTAAATATGAAAAGATGACCTGGTCTGAAAGATAACTCTTAAGCAAGATCAACATACAGATCTACTAGATAACAACTAAAAGACGAAGTAAATATTGACTGCAAGAATCACATTCGTGTAGGTCGAGAGGACAGCCGAGTGTAACCTCAATATTAAACCTTGAAAGTCTTCCTTGCCAGGCACAAGCCCAAAAACAGATCTATACACTACTAAAGTTTACTGTATCTATTCACAGATAAATCTGAGTTTCTGAAATTATTGTTCAATGAATCAAATCTGATCAAGTTCAAATCTTTACACACATGTCTACTGTTTAGAAGTGATCTTTAGTCATCCTTGGGGAATTCCACAACAGGAGCCTTGATTGAGTTGACAAAGCCATCCAGGGCAGAAAGAGCAGGCTTCAGTATTCCATTGTATAAGACAACAGCTCCATTGCTCTCACAAGGGAACATGCACCAGAGGAGGAGAGCCATTTTGAAGGTTAGGTAGATAGGAATGCTTGTGACGAGGAATGAGAGGAACTCGAACAGGTACAGAACGGCGAAGATGATCCAGTAAGCAATCCACTGTGTAGGGTATTCTCCACTCTTCTCAGCCTTGTAGGACATCCATGCTGGGTAAATCATGGCCAACACTGTAACCAGAAGATCAGCACCATAAAAGTCAGTGGCAGTCCAGAGAGCCACAAGACCCCAGAAGGCGCCGGTAACATGGGTTACAGTGACAGGGAATCCAATGGGAGGAATGTTTTTGTGAACAAACCCAAGAAACACACTGTATGGCACAGCAGTGGAGGATGACATATTGAACACCTGCAATATTGTTAACATATTAGTAAGCTTGTCAGTTGATGATTGTTGGTCAACTGCAATCATAGGTGGACTGATTTGTTTTAAAAAGTGTGTGATGAAGTTAATATTTTTGTAAGAAAAGTGGGTTAATTTTCGAATTTTATACATGACATCACAATCGAGCCATTATAGATTTACTGCTCATAAATTCTTACTTACTAATATAAATAATTGAAATTTAATTCTACATGGGGCCGGGGTCACAAGTCACTGTGCAAAAATTTGGGCTTATTGCTCAGTCCTGAGTGCCTGATTGAAAGCAATGGTCATTGTCCAGCTATAAGGTTGGACAATAGTCAATAAATAAACAATTTATAATAAACTAGAAATCCAGTGGTCACAGGGAGGGAGGTAATAGTATTCTTTAGTAGTCAGTTGTTATTGCATCAAAAAAATATACATCACAACCAAAGATAAGAAAAACATTTTAAGAAAACAAAATAACCATAAAATCCGCGCGTTGGCTGATTGCCTCAACTTGGATTAATAGTAATTTCAGTTGACAGATGCTCAAGGATGGTAGTTCAAAAGGCCCAGTGCACCATCGACAAGATCGAGGACTCAAGTGCCAGTAATGGTTTTCCGAATCCATTTTTGCCGATTTGCTCAGTGGTCCTAGTAAGCCGCGTCCTACTACTAAACGGCACATGATGGTTTTTGTTTTAATACATCTTTTTTATTTAATAATCAAGGCTTGACAATTCAGTAGGTGGTAAACGATCGCCATAACGGGGCATAATTTTGTTAAAATTCTCCGAGTTAGCGTAGATTTAGGATAGCCCTGTGTAGAGCTTTTACTCTAAACCCTTGGTGTAGGGCTCATCAAAACGATACAGCCCATTAAATGTTAAAATGTAGCTTGCACGTAATATGACAACAGAAACGGTTATCCAAGCATTCTGAAAATCTAACGGAAAATGAACCTAGCTTGCCCCTTCATAAAGATACTTGCTCTTGAAGTTAGAACTTTTTTGAAGAATAATTTTATAAAATCACAAAAGTTATGAATTAGTATTCTTTGGTGTTGGGCCATCGTTCAGCAGGCATATTTTAAGTTTTAATTCAATGTCAAAGATGATAGGAATAAGAAATATTTATGTGGAGGTTTCTAAGAAATTTGCGCAAAATACGCACCAGAACTGTTATACGAAATTCGGTAAAAACCCAAAATTGCCATAATCAGATTTCAGGCCAGGTACCTCAAAAACCATATTATATGTTAAAATTGAGTTGGAGATCGGAAATTGGTCAAATATCATCTCTTTTTGATTAATGTCAGGGTAACCTGTATCGGCCACCTTATACTAAGAAGGCTCGGTACACGGAGTGTGCCTTTCTAGAAGAATTCGAAGACTACCTTAAAGACCTCACAGTCAAACCTGGTTTCCCCATCATTGCTGGATTTAATTGATACAGAACAGTTTAAAGAAGATATTTTAATTTCAAAACTGACAAACTTCCCTAAAGACATGTCTCCGAATGATGCTGTTGTCCTTTACAACACCGTGCTCACTCAGTTAATGGATAAACACTACATCCTTACATAATAAAGAAGATTACTAAGAAGCCAATGCCCTGGTTAGACCTGGAACTTCGTATTCTCAGGCGGAAGAGAAGAACTGCTGAACGTGCGTGGAGAAAAGATAAAGTAGATGATATAGACAGTGCAAGATCTGAGTACCTGAGATCTGATTATGTTAAGCTAAGAGAGGAGTTTTCCCGACTAGAGTTTGTCAAAAGATGCGCTCACCACAAAACCTCTCTTAGGTCCTCTTCAGGGGATACTAAAGCGTTGTACAAAAAAGTCAACAGGCTTTTAGGAAATGACACCCAAAACCCTCAAAACTACAAGGATCCAGTGAAACGCTCTGCGCAAACTAGCATTCTTGCTTCGAATCGACGAGATGGTTGCAGAGCAACGATCTGGAAGGGTTGACATCGTCACTTAAGGAAAAACACAATTAGTTTCATGGAGAGGTTATAAGTTAATCATTTCTTAAAGTATCGAGTTGAAATTTTGCTCGAAGTTTATTACTTATATCTAGTTTAAGGTGTGTGTAAAATCTTAATATCGTATCTGAAAGGCTGCGTTTTTAAAAGTTAGAAAGCTAAAATTGTCCTTTTCCATTTTCAGGCTTATTTTGCCCAAAAAGTCAGTCAGGGAACATCGGATTGTTTTGATGCTTGACATGAAATTGTTCTCTGAATCCTGGGGCATGTCATTTTTGTTGCCCTCAAAATATATTTATTCAACTGGAAAGTTAATCTTTTGATTGCACATAAAGCCTTGCTGGGCCGCGCTCAGCATGTCATTCCGCCTAATCTCTATGTTTATAAACATGATAGCCTGAGGTCCCCAGGTAAATAAAGCCAAAAAACAAATTAAGGCACATTTTTCGTTTTTCATATTTACAGATTTTTATAAAATTTCGATATATAATAGGCATGTGCTTGAGACTTGTGCTAGGAAGGGTGAAAAATAACTGCAACTAGTACAATTGTGTATGAGTTATGAACAACACTGTAAATACAGAATTCCTTCATCAGATTTGTCATTTGTAAACAGACAGTCAAGTATGTCTAATCCTGTAAATATTGTAAAGAATCCTCTCTGTATCAGTACATGGAATGTTACTTCTCTTGTCAGTAATTCCAGTAAGATGTATCAATTAGGAAAAGGTGTTGATGATTATGGACTAGAGCTCCTTGGGGTAACTGAAACACATATGGCTGGATCAGGAACTCAGACTTTGAGCAATGGGGCTGTTTTGGTTTATTCTGGCAGGAGCGATGGAGTATGGAGAGAAGGAGTTGGTGTTGTTCTTTCCAAAAAGATGAAGAATACTCTCATATCATACACCCCTGTATCAGGACGGGTTATGACTGCCCGTTTACATAGCAAACCCATCAACATTAGTGTTACAGTTGTGTATGCTCCAACTGAGGATGCAGAAATCAGTTTAAAAGACTCATTCTACAAGGAATTGAATGATGTTCAATCGGGACTACCTGCTCATGATATAAAAATAGTTTTAGGAGATTTTAATGCTCGTGTTGGAAGGGATACTGATGCTCACCCTGGTGTTATAGGAAAACACTCATATCACACAGAATCAAATGATAACGGAAAACGGATGCTAGATTTCTGTACTATGCACCACAGAGGCACATATTAGGTGCGGTAAAAAAATCGAAATTATGCGGTACCGCACCCGACTATAAAGGTTAAATGTGCGGTAAGGTGCGGTAAATTTTTACCAATTATGCGGCAAATGTGCGGCGATTTTTTCGAAATTTGTGCGGGAATTGTGCGGTTTTCTTTTGCATTTTCTCAAGGACTTTGGAAATTCTAAACGTATAACCGCCGCTCTTATCAAAAATAGGTCTGTTTATGTGTTACTGAGGGTGTAGTTCTTTACTAAGACCATTACATGATTGAACCTAATATTGAGATTCAGTTATCTGAGAACAGTGACTTGATCTGGTAGAGATCAGGAGACAGTTATTTGAAGACGCCTCTTGATAGAGTTGATCAGATCCCATGCAGGTATCTTCTGTTTCTTGTGTGGTGAGCTTGATGATGGGTCACTGTCTGTAGCTGTTCGTTTCTTTAGGAAACGGTTCATGACGTTGTGATGTGATATAGAGTAATCAGATGATGTGGTGAAGTTACGAATGATAACTGATACACTATAATCGAAGTACGGTAACGACGAGGGTTCCATAACGGCCTGGATCACGGTCCCGAAAGGGCCTGGGTCACGGTCCCGAAAGGGCCTGGGTAACGGTCCCAAAAGGGCCTGGGTCACGGTCCCGAAAAGGCCTGGGTCACGTGGTAACCGGGTCACGTGGCCTAGGCATGAGTTCCAAAAGGGCCTGGGTCACGGTCCCGAAAGGGCCTGGGTCAGGGTCCCGAAAGGGCCTGGGTCAGGGTCCCGAAAGGGCCTGGGTCACGTGGCCTAGGTATGAGTTCCAAAAGGGCCTGGGTCACAGTCCCGAAAGGGCCTGGGTCAGGGTCCCGAAAGGGCCTGGGTCACGGTCCCGAAAGGGCCTGGGTTAGGGTCCCGAAAGGGCCTGAGTCACGGTCATAAAAGAGCCCGACTTTTATTTTGGTTTTTACACTCGAAAATCTTAACGCGAAAATTTCAAAATTATGCAAAATTACGCGGAAAATTCTAGATTATGCGGAAATATGCAGAAAATTACAAAATGTGCGGAAAACAATAAATTATGCGGAAATGTGCGGAAAATGGTAAATTGTGCGATCCCGCACCCATCGCACCTAATATGTGCCTCTGATGCACCAGCTGACGATTGGAGGCACACTCTTTGAACACAAGGATATCCACAAGACAACATGGAGATCCCCAAATGGTAACACCGTCACTCAAATTGACCATATGTGTATTTCGACGAGATGGAGCCATTCTTTGCTTGATGTCAGGAGCATGAGAGGAGCAGATATAAATACTACTCACTATCTGGTTAGAGGATATGTATCTATTAAACTTAAGTGTCCTCAGAAAAGAAAGAAGCGTGTAAGACAGCCTGCTTTAGAGCACCTGCGTGATAGATCTAAGAGCCAGGAATATAGTAACAGAATAGCTGAAGAGTACTATAACAACGATCAGGAGCATGAAAACTCTCCTTTAGAAGAACAGTGGCAAAATTTAAGAGATATAATAACTGATGTTTCATTTGAAGTTCTGGGTGAAAGGGGCCGGAAAAAGAGAACAGAACATCTCTCAAGGGATACTAAGAATCTCCTAAAAGAACGAGGGGAGATTAAAAAGAAACCCAGTACTGCTGAGAACCGTGCTAAGTACTCGCGGATTAACGGTCTTGTTAGGCAGAACTGTAAAAGAGATGATAATGCTTGGGCTGTTAGAATAGCTGAGGAATTAGAAGATGCTGCCAAGCAGGGTCAACAAAGAGATGTTTGGCAGAAAATA